CACTACAGTTGAGATACAAAGTGAATAAACTGTAATATAAAAAATAAAAATTTAATAAAAACAAAACAAAACAACAACAACAAAAAAAAAACCCAAGAGTACTGCCCAACCTTCCCTGAAGAACACTTCTGAATTTAAGTCTTAATTGGTAAATAAGACAGTAAAGAATGGTTACATAAGGAACTTACACACTTTTTGTTCATGATAATAAAAAGGTACTGCTAGTTTATGTTTATCGCAAATAATAGATGCCATTTGACTCATTTTCTTTACCTAAAAAATTCAGGCAAAATGATAGATGCAAGTTCATTTCACTCACATGAAGATAACATGCACATTGTGAGTGATTTCATTTTCTAAAATTTGATTTTTTTGGTTTAATTATTCAATTTTGACCTGGCTACACAACTCAAATTTCTTGTACTATTCTTGAACCATTAGTTCCCAAAGATGAAGAATAAATGCACAACAAACAAAACTTTGGATAATTATTTTCCAATATCCTCAATCCAGTTTCCCTGCTAGGTAGCTCTCAGTCGAGAAACCCTCTGACAAATTTCTCATGAGCCCTCTCTATCCTGCAAGTTCCCGCTGATTACTGCCAGCCCCTAAACACATCTTATACTCCTCATACCTCCTTCTTGCTCATTTTTTTGCTCTTTGCCTAGAATGCCCTGCCACTATCTCCTTGGAAATTCCATGTGCACCCCAAAACCCAGGTCTAACCATAGTGTTAGCTTGGGCTTCTGCAGGAAAATAGAGCCAAAGCAGAACTTAAAGACAGCCACATATTTAAAAAGTGATGTCAAACATTAGGACAGCAGGCTGAAAAGAATGAAATAATGGGAAAAGTGAGTAGTAGAGCAAGGTATCACATCATTTCCTACTGTGGGCACCTGGGGCTCTATCCTCCAGACACCATTTGGGCTTCAGAATGTTATCTGTTGGGTGACAATTCATCCTTCTTCTGTCTCCTCATTGGTCCCTGGTTGCTTCTTGGGATATTAATGTCCTTTCTTTCTGACTGCACATACATTAGAGAAAATCTGATGAAGAAAGTGAAAGATGCTCAGAGCTGCCAGGTTATGCTGGTATAAACTGGTTGCAATGGCAATCGAGTTAAAGGTTGATACATAGGCGAAAGGGAACAGAGACAAAAAGAGATTTCCTAGCATGCCCAGAGTTAACTTGCCTCATCAACCCTCCATTGGACCATGCACAGGTTTTTGCTCCAGAGCACCTGTCCTGTTACCTTGAATTCAGTTGTTTATTGTTATAATTGAGTATGGCCTTAGCAGTACCAACAATTTTTTGTTCACTTTAGTAGGTACTGTACCCAGGACACTCACCATCACCAGAATGTTGTCTTATGACCTCTCAATGGAGTAAAAATGTACATTTTTAAATTACTGGGTCACATCATGGAAGGCACTCTGTCATTAGCAGTTGACTGTTGAAAGAAGCTTTTTCAATGAAAAGAAAAGCAGGGCAAAGGGGGTGGGGACCGAAAACAAAGTTGACGTAGATAAAAATCCACAGGAAAAGGAATTATTTTAACTTTAATTAATTTTAAAAGGAATTATTTTAATATGGCTACATGTGGTAGAATTGTTTCTTCCAACTGACAAAGAAGAAATATTATAGCAGGCACTCTTAAGAAGCTGATTGTTCGAGGAAGCTTTCTGATAAAATGAAAAACAGGCAAAAAGTGGGAACTGCAAAGAAAGTTGATGTAGACAAAAATCCACACTTATAAGGAAAAGGAATAATTTTGACAATACTATTAGATACATATGATTTTTTTTTTCAAAGAAACTTGAAAAAGAAGACAAATACTAGTAATATTACGGGCTACTCAGTATGAAATCAGCAGTAACATGTAGCTATAGTCTCTCCTTCATCTCATTAGATCGCTAGCATAAATTGATTTACCCAGAATAAAAGTTAGTGTCTACACACTGGCTTCAAGCTCTATGAGCCATGGCCTCAGTACCTCCTCAGCTCCCCCTCCTGCTGCCACCCCCTTGCTCATGTCCATACATCTTGCTGGCTTTCCCCAGGCATGTGGCAGCCTGAAGCTTTTGCAGTAACTAGTCCTTCCACCTGGAATTCACTTTTTGGCCAGTTAGGACTATCTAGAACTCTTATTTAGATCCTATAGTTTCTAGTTCCTCTAAACTCCTGGTCTCCTTCTCCTACACAATATTCTCCCTATAAATACATAATTAACTTAGTATGTTTATTCTTTATTTCTCATCCACTTCTAGGAAGTGAGTTTTACCCGTATAGTAGATGTTGTCTTTCTTAATGACATATCCCAAACATTCTGAATGGTTTTGCTACATACTGGCTAATCAATAAAATGGAATTGATTACCTGAAGGCCTGACATTAACAATGCATTTCATAATATAGAGACAGTATGCATTGGTTTCTCACATACTGATGACCACTTACAGAGGACCAGGGATAGAGAATCCAGATAACACATTCGTCCTGAAACAGCTCCCAGGCTCATGGGCACAGGTGATCACAAGTGTATAGGGCTATAATAGAGCGGGGAAAGGAGGGAACCAAAGAGACATTAGCTGTTTTTTCATCAAGCACCAAAAAAGGGAAGGACTTAAACTAGGATTTGTGCTGTAGTCTATCAGTACAGAAACAGGAGCCAGCACAAGCTTACATTGATACTAAAAGAATCCTTTAACATAATACAGAATGAGTTCTTTAACTAAACATAGTTGCTTTGCTTTTTGACTCCCTTTATTTTTTCTCTTTTATTGAAAATAAATTTCTTTCCTCATGTGATATATCCTGATTATGGTTTTCCCTCTCTCTAATCCTACAAGCTTCTCTCTGCCTCCCCTCATATCCAGATCCACCTCCTTTCTGTCTCTCATTAGAAAATAAACAGGCTTCTAAGGGAAAATAATAAACAACATAAGATATAATAAAACAAAAACTAACACATTGGAATTGGACAAAACAGAAGAAAAAAGAGTTCATGCAAAAGGACAAGAAACTTAGGCTGACTAGTTCACTCAGGAATTCCATAAAAGCATTAAACTGGAAGCCATAATATATAGGCAAAGGACCTGTAAAATGAGAGAAAAAAAAAAGATAGCTAGATAGAAAGAACGATAGATAGATATAAAAAATAACATAACATGTTTTGTTTTTGTGTTTGTATGTTTAAAAAGGAAGAGCCCCGATAGGACATTATGAGAGACAAGGACCCTCCAAGGATGCTGTTGAGCTTGTATTCTGTTGGCCATCTACTACAGCAGCCTACCCTTAAGAGTGGTTTGTTTCCCTGCGAGACTCTCTTGGAGGAAACTGAATTTTCACTTGCAAATGGTTACCAATCAGAAATAGCTTCTGGGGTTGGAGGAGCGTGTCCACTTCTCTTTTTGGCTCTGGAATGCCATTTTTATTTTCATTGTTTAAACTTCTGTCAAAATATATATAACAAAGTTTATTGTCTAAACCTGTTATAAGCACATGCTGAGTGCATTCAGTACATTCCTGACACGAAGCCATTACAGTCATCCATCTAAAAATTATTTTCATCTTATAAAATTGAAGGTTTGTATCCACAAAACACCAGCTCCACATTCCCCACAACACCCAAAATCACTATGCTACTTTCTTTCTCTAGGATTCTGAGAGTACTAGAAACTCACACAGGTATCACAGTAACTGGCTTATCTCGCTTTGGATAATGAGCTTATCCCGCTTAACATAATGAGATAAGCCAGTTATAGAGTGAGGATATTATGAGATTCTTTCCCTTTAACACTGAGTAATATCCTATTGTATCTGTACCTTACAGTTTTCTTTTCTAGTTACTCATTAATAGACATTTGGATTGGTTTTACCTCTTGAATTTTATGAATAATACTGCTTTGAAAATTGGTATAAAATATCTGAAATTTTTGCTTTCAAGTTCTTGAATGTATACACTCAGAAATGAAATTGCTGAATCATATAGACATTTTGCTGCTAATTTTCTCGAAGGTTAGCCATACTATTTTCCATAAGGGTGCTACCATTTCACAGTCCCAGCAGCAATCCACAAGTGTTCCAATGTCTCCACGTCATGTCTAACATGTGTGACTGTCTGTTTTTTCTAGTAATCATACTAATTGACATCCTAAGGAGTCAATTCCCTATTTTTTGCTGTTTATAAATACATTTTTTAGGGGGCCGGAGAGATGGCTTAGTGGGTGAAGGCGATTGCGTCCCATGCTGGTGGGCATAATTCAATCCATAGGACCCACATGGTGTCCTCTGACCACCACACACAAGCATATGCATGTCACACACGCACACATGCACAAATAACTTAATAAAAACTAAGAAATTTTTAGTTTTAATGTTTAAAAATCCTGGCCTTATTATTCCCTGTTTGATTAATCCAACAAAACCTACGAAGGGCCCACTAAATACCAGACAATGGGCTAGGTGTACAGATTCAAATGAGGGAGGTTGACCCCCAGCTTACAATAATGAGACAGACAGGTATGTCAACCAGTCAAACAGTGACACCTTACACACAGTGTGAGAAGAGACAGACCAACACTGTACATGAGTGTTTATTTGATTCAGTCATTTATAAAATTTTGAATTGGTTTTCACAAATTAATTTTGATTTCTGATTTCATTTTAAAGAAAAAAAAATGAAAACATAATAGCAACTCTGAGCCAGAAATTTTAGAATGGCTGCAGTAGTTCAGAGCTGAATCGTAGCTGCCCTTTTAAAGGTAGGAAGGAAACCTAAACCCCCAGAGACTATTCAGAAACTGAGAATGTGAGTCTGGGTAGAGAATCCAGGCAGAAGCACAGTCTGATTGTGGTCCCTTCATAACTAACAAGCAGATACACACAAACCTACACAAACCCCAACAGTCCTTGCTAGTTCACTGATAACGTTGTTCATTAAGTATCTTGGACATGACACTTTTTTATGTTATCAAATAATGTTACCTCTTGGAGACACTATCTTTTTTTAACCATTTAATCATTTTCATTTTAGAAATGAAGAAACAGAAACATACAGAGGTTGAGCAGCTTTCCTGATGTGATCCAAACATGGGCCTCTCGTTTTGGCAGAGGAACAGAGAATTACAGTTCACAACAGTACAGCAGGTGTTTGTTGTTTCACTTTTCCAGCATCCTTTCCCGTCTTCTCTAAAAAATATAGCTTCATTTTGCCTTGAGAGTCACCATTTCTCCTGATTGCTTGTGATCCTAATGGAACTGAATCCTCTTGGTTTCAAGACTGGCATGTGGCCCAAGCCTGGCTATGCCTATTCACCAGACCTATTCCTGCCACTGGAGGCTGCTGGGAAGGAAAAATTTAAGTCAGAATGATGTTTTTGATACTCAAAACTCCATGATGTAATGAAAACTAGCTACCTTTCTTTGGATAAATTGCTCAACTGTTCTGAGCCTCAGTTAACAAATCTACAAAAAGAAACAACTCCTACCTCAGAGAACTGTTGTCTGGCTATAAAGAAATAATGTGTGTAAAATGCCTGGCACACAGTAGGTGTTGGAGCCCAAGAAGTGGCACACAAACCACTTAGACACTGGTCTCTGCTAGATATTGATGGTTTATTTGAATGCCCTTTCCAAGGACTTGGATGCCTAACTGTGACATCTACCTGCTCTTAGGGCAGTCTTTTATTGACCAAACTAAATAAAAGGCATGGGAAGGGCAGTAACTAACACCTTTTGGCTAGCTATACAAAGCAATACCATGTTTTTGACTAGCCACATCAACTTTAAGCTGATTGGTTTTAGGTGAGGTAAGTGAGGCTCTTCCAAAGTGAAACCAAGTGCAACCTGGTGTACAGAAAACAAGAGTGAGTGCAACTAGACTGTAGCCAAGTGTGTAGATAACAAAGTGTGAGTTATGACACTAGTGAATCATAGTCAAATATAAGGTCAGCTTGACCCTCTGGCAGGGTCTATTGGTATAGGTTAACTTGGCTCTTTGGCAGGGTTTGCTGTTGTCAGCTATGAATAACTGCTTCTAGGAAGCAAGGTTAGAAGTTTAAAATTTTTGAACTTAATTTCACCTTATAAACAAAATGGAAGCTGAATCTGCTGAATACAAAAACGGCTGCAGCTATGTCTCAAAGTAGGCTTCAACAGTAGGAGCTCATTAATGCTGGCTCCTTTTATTCTCTTCCAACTAATGTCAGTGGGTGCATCACTGCTATAACTAAAATGTAAAAAGGACATTGGCAAACATTCCTCACAACATATTGAAAACAGCATTTTTAGTGGCTACCTTATGTAAATTCAGGGAATTGGAAGGGGAAAAAAATAAAATGCAGTTTCATTTCCTGGAAAAACTCATCCCATATCTAATGCTTGCCAAGGGTAGTCCGTAAGTCTATATCTGCATTCATCCATCTTGTCATATCTGTATAGATAAAGTGAGCTTCCTCTCTGCTCATGAGCTATTGTGTTTTTAAGATGGAAATTCTCTTAAATCCCTGGCAATCATTTAGCTGACAGTTCCACTCATAAGGAAATAATAATATTAGAGCAGTTGTATGGCACTTTCTGCTTTTTAAGCACTTTAGAATCCTAAGTAATTAGCATAAACACTAACATGCCAGAATTTATGGGTTAAAATTGCAATTATACTTTGTTTTTCAACACAAACACAGTGATCTTTTTTCATTCACTGGGAGTAGAGAGAAACAATACATGAATAAGCCGTCTGCCTAGTGGTATCCAAAGTACTGTAGATGAAAAAATGAGATGGGGACTTTATTAGCTAGACACTCCTCTAGCAACATCCACGAAGGCTGGCGCCTCTGATAACGTTATTTTGAATCAACAAAGGATTCAGGGCATCAGTGCTTACACAGAAAGGTGTGCAAACTCATGCCAAGATCCCATCCTTCGAAATATACTTTATTCATTTTTAGATTTAAATGTCTGAAATTGGAAAATCATTCATTCGTTATTTAATTTTAAACCGAATGACAAAACATCAATTTACCTAGTGCTGCAAAATTCTCCTCTTTCCACTGTAATATGAACATATAACACAGCAAGCAGATTTGGGAAGGCTTTGGCTGGAACTTGTTAGCCTTAGAACAGTATTTTCAGAATATTTCTTTCCCCATCCCCAAATGGAGGCAGAGTGTTAGTCAGGTTTCTCTAAATGAATAAAACTGATAGAATGCCTTTGTGTGTGTGTGTGTGTGTGTGTGTGTGTGTGTGTGTGTGTGTGTGTTAGAGAACCTTCAGGCTGTGGTCTGGGTAGTCCAACCATGGCTGTCTCCTGATGGAAAGCCCCCAAATCTGGTAATTTCTCATCCCATAAGACTGGATGTCTCAGCAGTCCCAACCTGGTGCTGGAGTCACCGAGGATTCCTAGGGAGCTGTTGGTTTTCAGTCTATGCTAGAATCCTGAAGAACTAGGTGTTAGTACTAGTGAAAGAATGCCTTGGCGTTAGCATAGATGAACTTGCCAGTGAGAGTGAGGCCGACAAGTGAAAGCTTTCTTCCTCCATGTCCTTTTACCTGGGCTGCCACCAGCAGATGTGGCCAGATTTACGGAAGGTCTTCCTACTTCAGGTGTTCTAGTCAAGAAAATCCCTCACAGGCATGGCCAACTACTGAGGTTTTAGTTGACCCCAGATGTGGTCAAGTTGATAACTTTCTTCTTAGACTTTATACATTGTTGTACTTTATGAATCTTATGCTTCATTAGTTGTCATAATCATCACCATTATACCACAACCACCAAAATACTACTACCACCATCACCATCATCATCATTACCATCACTATCTCTTCTATTATTAGCTCAGGCTGGCCTTGATACTCCTGCCTCCACATCTAAAACATGGATTTGACAGGCACATACCACCACCCTGGCCTAGTTTTTTTAATAGTCAATACCCTTAGGTTTAAATATTAAGGAAAAGTTTTGCATATGGGAATAGAAAGATGACTCAGGCAGCAAAGTGCCTGCTGCTCAATATGAGGACCTGAGTTCAGATCCCCAGCGCTAGATAAAAAGCAGAGTCTGTTGGAATGTGCCTAGCTTTGGGGAGGCAGAGACAGAATGCTGGCCAGCTAGTCTTGCTGAATTGGTAAGCTCCAGGTTCAGAGGGAGACTCTACAGGCAGAGAATGATAGAGGAAGACATTCAACATTCACCTCTGGCCACTGAAAAGCACATACACTTGTACTGACCCATGTACACACAAAGATATAACGTGCACACACACACAAGGTCTTACATATGTATCTTGTGTTTCATGCTCTTTGATAGAGTCACAGCTTCATCCCCTATAATTTCCTTCTTGAAGAGTGTTGTTTAATGTTTTAAAATATTTTATATTTATATCGTGTATCTTTCAAAACTTTTTGTTGGGAACAGCGGTGCATGCCTGTAATCCCGGGATTCTTCTGGTGATTGAGGCAAGAGAATCTTGAGTCCATGGAAAGTCTGAACTATATAGCCAGCCCTCCCTGTCTCAAAACAAAACAAAGTGTTTGGGTTCTTCTTATTTTGGGAAGTTTTGTTTACCAGAAATCCTAAAATTGACTAGTTGTTTTCTTCCTTTAAACATATGGCTTTACAATCTTCTTGATTCCATTTTTCTCAACAAGAATTTTACTGTTAAAGGAAAGCCTTTGTCTACTGGTTTTGAGCAATTCTATTATAATTGACCTTCATAGAGTATCATCTGTTTGTCTGTGGAGTTCCTTAAATCTATTAATAATTTTTCTCAAAATAGGAAATGTCTTCAGTCATTATTTTCTTAAATGTTTTCCAGAGATTCTAATTACTTTCCATTTCCAAAGGTTCAGTGGCATCCTTTTCATATTTTCCATGTCTCTGCCTAACTTTGTAAACACACAGAGTACAATTAGAATTACTGTTTTAATGTTCTAGCATGGGGACCCTCATACGTCAGTACTGAGTGGATAATGTCCTAAACCGTAGCAACTCTAACATCTGTGCCAGAACCAAGTGGATTTCAGTGTATCATCATTTCCTTTCTATGGCTCATATTATTCTTCTCTGAATGTCTAACTATTGGATGCCAGACATTGTAACTTTTCCTTGCTGTAGGCCGAATACTTTTTACTCCTTTATTTCTGCATAGCACTTGAAGGTTATACGCAGTTAAGCTACCTGAAAACCATTGAGGCCTTTCCGGTTTTGTGTTTAAGTTTCGCTAGGCAGTGCTAATGCAATGGCCCACAGCTATTTTACTCTGCTACATAGGCCATATCGTTCCTACTGTCTCCCCAGTAAATAATAAGGATTTCCTGTTTGTGCTTCTGTCTTGCATGGGCGTGATCCTTGAAACTTGGCTGGGGTGATGACAGAATGAAGGTAGGACAGAAGTTAAAGAAACAACAGACATATATGACGAGAAGCCAAAAGAGGGTCGAGTGGGCTGAGCACACCGTGCTGAATGCTGGCAAGGACTACCAGACAGGCTTTGACTTAAGGAAGTTATAGTCCAATAGGGGAGAACACAGTGAGCCAAGGATTCTACAGATTCTATGAGCTACAGATTCTAAGGCAGAAATGCATAGAGGCTGTAACTAATTTCTTGGAAAACCATGACATTCTTAGCTCCACAGATTTCCAGCCATGATTTATACACTGTGACCAGGTTAAAAGGCCGGTCTCTCTAGCTTTATGCTTGGACAATTCACATCAACTTTCTCAACCTTTTTTTTTTTTTTTTTTTTTTTAATCCGTGGCATAAAATCCATGAAACCTGCACCTATTCCACTGGGTCATTCTAAGAATTCTAAGTTAACTTAGAATTAACTGGTGTCTGTGTGTGTGCGCGGGGGGGTGGGGTGGGGGGAGGTTGTACGAGGAGGAGTGACTAGATTGTTTCTATATGTATGTGAAACGGACAAAACCGTAGACAATGGCTGCCACATGCACAGTTCACAAAGCAGGGTCTCCCGTCCGAACGGAAAGATACCTACTGTGAGTAAACCTCTGTAACACGCGGGAGAATCGGGAGAACCGAGATACACCACCTGGGGAAGAAGCTTTCGCGACAAGGACCCTGGGACGCAAGCACCCTTCCGGGAAGCCTCGCCAGGCCGGCAGCGCGCTACGCTACAAGCCCCGCCTTCGGGCCCGCCGCCGCCCCGCCCCATCTCGCGGGATCTCGCGAGTAAGGGTGGGTCAGGAGCAGTCATGGAGGCGGAGGAGGCGGATGTGGATGTGGAAGGAGATGCGGTGGCGGCGGCGGCGGCACAGTCCGGGTGAGGAGCGGAGCGGGGTCCTGCGGGCCGGGCGGTGCTAGGCGAGGGCCGTGGGATGTGGTCGGCCGAGGGTCCGCGTGGACGGCGTCGAGACCCGGGCTGCACCTGGCCGGAAGTCGGCCGGGTCCGCGGTCGGGACGCGGACGGAGTGCTCGGGGTAGGACTGTCTGTCTCCGCTTCCCGGGATGCGGGGGACGTGTCCCCACGCGGATTCCTTCCTGCATTCTGTCTCAGAGTCCTCACAGGAACTTGCACACTGGCGTCTAGTCCACAGGACCTCACTCCGAAGACGCTTGGTCCTGCGCGTGCCAGCGACCTTGGTTGTCGGCGTCCCTCTTCGCAGGGCAAGTTGTGAAAACTTGCGGAAAGCCGGCTTAACTTAACGGGTCCAGATTTTAGAATCGGGCAGTTGAGGTTTTCCTTCTGCATTTGCTCTTCCTGTGTACTGTCATTGTGACCGTGGTCGTTTGAACCTCTGTTGGCTTGTTTGGAAACCAAGAATCACGTGTCTACCTTACTCTTCTGAGCATCGAATGAAGTAATTTTAAAAGATGCTTTAGTTTATGTAAAATAAAATGCTCGGCACGTGTGTTTTTTACTGTGTTAGGGATAACATAGGGAAGACTCATTAAGGGATGTGGTTAAACACTAATCCCTGCAAGACGGGCCGTGTGGTTTTAAACGGAACCTGCTTTGACACCTTGCCTTTATAAAGAGTAAGAAATTGCTTTCTATTTTTTAGGTAATGGAGCCCAGAATGGGACCTCAGGTAAAAGCCAGAAGACCTGCTTTGAAAATTCAGTTACATTACTTGTAACTTATCAGCAACTTCGTTAGAACACTGTTGAACTATATGCCGTTACTAATATTGGACCATTTATGGCCTGTTTTTGTCATATAATTCATTTGACAGGAGAGCTGCTCGATTGTAGAGTACCATTCCTTCTCAAGGAGGCACCAAAATAAGGAGCATTTTCAAATGTCCAGTGAACTCTTCGTATGTGATAAAAGTGTGAGGAGTAGTTTATATACTTCTTTTCTCTAAAGTTCTTAGGCAGAGAAGTTCAAAAGCTATGTGGATAGCCTGACATAACAATAATTCTTTGCATTGGTATAATTTTTCAGTCTTTAACAAGTGCTTGTGAGTTTGTGATTTAACTTTGCAAGTCAGTGAGCTAAGTGGGTAAGGGCGGTTTGGAGTTCATAAAGGAATGAATTCACCTTGAGTTCAGCCAGCATTACCTGAGCACACCGGCTCTATGCCCCTTTCATAGGTTTTATAGGGTTTATCTTGACTTTTCTGGTTGTGTTTAGTGTCCTCCCCCTCCCCCCTTTGTGTGTGTGCGCGCCATTTTCTTGACACTTGGGCCTACTGGTGGCATTTGTAATGTTAACCTCATGTGTTATGTCCCAAAGCAGGCACAAATGACTAACGGAGATGCCAATAATAATCAAAGCTGACCTGGCCTCCAGGTTCTCACAGCATCCCTCAGTCCCTACTAGTTCCAGGGTATGACTGACATATCCTGTATGTTTCCTCCCTGAAACTTCTCCAAGGCTGTGCTGCCCTTCCCTGTATAATCCAGCCATTTTGGTTACCTGGCCCTTTTGGTCTACCCTTTACTCTCTTGGGCACTCTCTTGACCCAGACTGCCCATCTTGGTCCGCAGCTTCTCTTCCCTTTCCTCTTCCCACTCTTCTCACATGGCCCAGCTCAGGATCGTGTTCACTCTGGATTCTCCCAGATGTCCCTGCCTCTGGCTGTGTGCTCCCTCTTATCTACAATAAACCTCCTCCTGCACCATTCCTAGGAGCAGTCATGTCCTTTTTTATTTCTTTTTGTTGTTGTTGTTTTTCATGCATCACGCAGGCAAGATTATGAAGGTTCCTGATGTCAGCCACTGCTTAAGGAGCGTCGTTGACATTACCTGTGGAATAGTGCCCTGGAGTTCTGGAGTCAGAATCAATTTGAATTTAGTGTGGTTGGTACCCTTTGAGGTATGGTGGCAGAGGACAATAGCATTTAAGGAACTCTTGGTGACTAATTTGGAACATACCTAGCTTTCTGAAAGCTAGGTAGCAAAACAAAACACTGTGTTTTGGTTTTCCTTCAACTGTTATTTCTTCTCATCTTCCTTTTCTGAATGTTTTAAACCCCTTTAATGTTGATATTTTGCCATAAGACTGTGCTCACTGGCCATCATTAGTGATAGCGCCAAGCCTGGCATCTCTCATGACTTAATTTTTGCTAAGTTGCTGTATTGCTGTCCTGCCATTCTGATGTATAAAGGTTTCTCAAATTCAACCTAATACTTGTTCTTACTTCCCTAATCTTTCACTGACCCCTGTCTCTCTGAGCTTCAGATCAGGACTCTAAAGACCTGTCTCTCAGCTGTCCCTAGTTCCGTACATGGCAGCAGCAATCATCTAGTCTCAAGGCATAGACCTGAACTCCCTCCCTTTTCCTTTTCCATCTTTCTACTCCCTCATCTGCTAAGTTATTACAGGCAAAAGCCTATTGATAAAAAGTATCCTCTCATGGGTCACTCTTCTTGCTCATACTGCTTTTTCCGTAGATACAGGTTATTGCTATGTTTCTCAGGTATTTTTGTAAGTATTTCCTATACTATTCTTCTCCTTGGTCCCCTTTTCCCACTAAAGTTAAGTCTTGGTTACATCCAAATCTGATTGTGTTATTACCTTAAGTTTTCATTGGTTTTGAGGTAAAATGTTTGTTTTTTGTTTTTTATTGTTTATTTTTGTTTTGGTGGGTTGATTTGGTTTGTGGTTTAGTTTTTTGAGATAGGGTTTCTCTGTGTCACAGAGCCCAAGCTATTCTGGACTTTGTAGATGAGGCTGTCCTCTAACTCAAAGAGGTCCACCTGCCTTTGCCTCCCGAGTGCTAGAATTAAATGGCATGCACCACCTCTCCTGGCACTATTTTGTTTTGTTTTGAAACAGGATCTCGTAGCTCAGGCTGGCCTGGAAGTTGTTATGATTCAACTCCTGGTCCTCCTGTCTCTGCCTCCTAAGTTCTGTCATTGCAATTAAGTACCACCATACCTGGGTAGTTTTGTGATAAAGTCTTCATACCTTAACTACTACAGGTCTCTGGTCCATTGTTTACTCATTCATTCTGCTGTTTATTACATTCTTCATGTCATCCACTCCATGTACATAGCGCTTGTGAAAATGAAGTCCTTGCTGTCATAAAACTATTCTTTTGGGTGGAGCAGACAGTAAACCTTATGTATGTGTTTGACAGAGGGAAATGGACTAGGGTGAAGGAAGATGATCAGCTGGTTGGCCAGCTTTTTGTCCTGCACTGACCCAGTGAAGCTCTTACGGTGTGAAACTATGGGCTCTTAGAGCAGAGAGTAGAAACAGTGAAAGAAAGGGGCCAGACTGAATTGGTTTGTGAAGAAAAAGGGGCAAACTCAGATTTGTGGCTTGGACTACTGGGGAGATTGAGGTTATAGGGATAAGAGAGGAAGCAGTGGAAGCATGGCAGATGGCAGGTTTGAGAGGAAAGGTTATTTTCAGCTTAACCATATAGATTATGATACTTACAGAGATTCAGGTATGTGTTCCGATGAATATGTCAGAGAGTGAAAGTTGCTAATCCTCACTGTGGTGTACTACATGAAAATATTTCTGCAGTGAACTTGAAATGATAGCATTCCCACCTCTTGCACTCTTGGCCGGCCTAGCTGTTTGCACAAAGGTTTGCCTCTGCTGATACAGGTTTTAGAAGTCTTTATTTAACCTCTTCAGAATCACAGTTGGCATGGTTAGTTTAAGGCTGATTTGTGTCAGCAATTGCGAGAATTTGCTTTCATTTCATGCAGATTAAGTTTATCACTAAATATGGTCAGAAAAAAGGTCAGTAATTTCACTAGGAAACATTTTAACTTGAAACATACAGAAGACAAACATTAAATCCCATTATATCATCGCTTGAGACCCCCCCAAAACCTCATTGTTAAGTCTTCCTGCAATTGAGACACATGTTGCACTTATTTCAATGAAAGAAATGACAGAATTAATAAACTTTGATCTCATAGATACAAAAATTCCCCAAATCACCCTAATAAGGGGAACAAGGACTGTTTCTGACATGAACTCAATGGCGGGCTCTTTGACCTCCTCCCCTGCCCCCCAGGGAAGAGCAGTCCTGCTAGGTCACAGAGGAGGACTTTGCAGCCAGTCCTGAAGACACCTGAAAAACCAGTATCAGATGAAAGGGGAGGAGGTTCTCCCTATCAGTGGACTTGGAAAGGGGCGGGGAGGAGATGGGGGTGGGAGAGTGGGATTGGGAGGGAAAGAGGGAGCGGGATACAGCAGGGATACAAAGTTAACAAACTGTAACTAATATTAAAAAATAAAAATTAAAAAGTTAATAAATTTTAATAAATAATAATAAATATTTTAAAAAACAAACAAAAAAATTTCCCCAAATCAAATTATTTTAAAATTAAGTTGTTACTAAATCCCTTTAGAACTTCTTATTTTAGTTCTTACCTCTAGTTTTGTTTGTTTTATTTTGTCTTCATTTTGGGGATGGTAGGTTTGTGGCTTAGAGATTTAACTAAAGTGTTTGTGTGTGCATATGTATACTCACTCGCCAGAAATTCAAGTGGTAGCTCTTGGTCTCAGGATATTGTGGCTGTTGTGTTACATCATGGTTTACCTCACAGGCTACCAAGGCAGAGCAGGTACTGTTGTAGTATTCAGTTGTTAAGGAGAGGAGGTCCCTAGTATCAACAGCCAGCCCCTGTCCTGTGCAAGTTATAGCCAAAAATGAATGTAATATCACTCTTCTTAATTTTTGTATTTATTACAGAAATAATGAAAATACAACATTAGTTTTTCAAGATCACTATCTTGATTCAACGTGGAGAAGAGAGAATGGCTGTCTTGTAAGTATGCTAAATCAGGTGACTTTACACTGCCTCTGTTGCCCAGAGAGCCTCTTTTTCTTTTGTTAAGACTGAGGCCTAATTCTCCAAAACCACAGAGGTAGTGTATGGAAACACTTCCTTTAAAAATAGAGGCACTGTTTTTTCGTCTATGAAAAAATGATCTCTTGTGAAACAAATTTAGATCCAGCTTGATTTAGGTAAAGATCTTTACCACTTCTCACATTTGTCAACTTTGATTTCTTCAAATGAAAGATGGGCATAAATCACAGAGTTTACATGTTCACTTAGCAGTAACTGCATATTCACCATGCCAGACAGTAGGAAAGGTTAAAGTGCTGCAGGTGTCATCAAGACAGTTGTAACTCTGCTCTCATGGAATTGATAGACAAAACGAGTCAAGCAATAAACAGGCACACAAACCAATTGTAGCTTGTGAAAGAAATAAGCAGTGTTGACTGAGGTTACTAAGTCAGGGGAATATTTGAGGAAAAGTTGATAACACTGAGGAGATGACATTTAAGTTGAAATGTAACAGGGAAAGTGAATTGATAAATGAATTACAAAAACTAACATGCTAGGCAGAAGGAAGAGTGGGTGCAGAAGCCCTGGCTTATGTTGACAGTTTTAATTTTGTAAGTGAACCAAGACATTGAAACTTCTCTGTAGCCTTCGGTACAGACTAGGAGGTTCATTTTTGTCAAATATGCTTTGGATGCTGTGGTAAAGAAAGGACTGGAGGGAAGCCAGAGTAGAAACAGAGGGACTAGTTAAGAACCATTTGCAATAATCCTTGCTTGGTTTTAGATAATGGCTTGGTCCTCTTTGTTCCAGAAGAGGTATAAGTGGACAAATTTGAATTATAATTTTGAAGGTAGACCAGTTTTTGCATATGGGGAGGAAAAAGGAAAGCATCCACATTATTCCTGGCTGTACAGTACTCTTTGTAAAGTTGAAAAGGCTGGTGGAGCCAGGTGATACTGCATTCTGTTTTGCATATGTTCTATTTGAGAAGCCAATTAGATATTCAAAGGGAGGTCTTTTGTGGCTAGTGACTGTAGTAGTGTGGAGCTTAAAGAAGAGGTAGGAGTTGAAATATTTGTGACTTTGAGAATTGAAATGAATATGATTATTTACTCAGAGTGTGGCTTAAGAAAAACTGAATTGAGTTTTGGAAACTGGTTTCAACCTAGGAATTTTTTTGTGCATGGTAGCCATTAGTACTGCTTACAGGTAAGGGGCATGATCATAGGACTCCAGCAGGCTTTGGTGTGAGGTTTCTTCTCTTCCACTTAAAATGCTACTAGTGCTACAGATACCTCTGTGAACTATTTATGCCTGTCGCAGTGTGATTATGAAAATCAAATGTGGCTGTATGCTCATGTAGTGAGTTGTTCTGTCATTGTTTATATCATGCATTGCACTCAACTAATAAGATAGCTTTTTCAGTAATGAAATATATAGAGTTATATGCCATTCTTGTTGTGTTTTTTAACAGCCTTGGACTCTGGATAGTACCATCAGTGACGAGAACAGAGCTGTCATTGAGAAAATGCTGTTGGAAGAAGAGTATCCTTCACCGATTGTGAGGACAGTAAAAGTATCAGGGCTAACAAATGGATCTGTGCAGACATTACAGAAGAGGCCACTGTAATTGTTAGATGACTATAGTTTGACTCATGTTCTGCCCAGTTCAGGAACCCCAAAAGACCAGGAACAAATAGACTCCATTGTAAATACATGAGGTTCTTTTTATTGTAAATTACAAGCTGCAGCTTGGGCCCACACCCCCAACCGTGGAAGCGGTGAAAGCCGAGCGCGCCATGCTCAGGTTAGTTGGGTGATTTAAAGATTCTGGTCCCTCCCAGCATGCCCAAGGCAGGGGCGATTCCTGCCTGGCAAGCATCTATTGGTCAAAAATGCTACATTTTTAATTGATTGGCTATAGGGAGGTCCCCAGACCATTAATGATCTGGTGTCCCTCCCTAGGGGGAAATGGGCCAGTTTCCTAGCAACTGTATCTCTAGTGGGTGGGAAAAGAATGCAGTAATGTGGTTCTTCCCCTCAGGGCATTCCTGGACTTCTCCATCCAGCTAGTTCAGGGCTTAAATATTAATAATAGCTGATTTTTAATCTTTTGGTCTCTCAACCACAGATTTGGATTGTGTAATTGCATGTCACTTTCTGTGCAAAAAGTAGCATGTTTTACTGCTGAGTCTGAGACTGCTGCAATGTTTCTGAGTTTTTGTTGTCAGCCAAGTCTGCATGCTTAGTGTACATATTGCATAGAAATGGTAGAATATTTAGGTTAGAACCTTCATTCCAAACTTCCATTTTCAAAGCAATATAAACTAAAACACAGAGGTACTTATATGTATAAAGCTGAAACGTGGAAAATTTCATATATTATACTGACAGATGTTATATGAGAGGAGTTTTAAATGAAAAACAAGACTGATCGCCCTTCTCCTAGTTATAGATCATTTTCATGGCCCATCAGCTGACTCAAGCTGATCCTGCTTATGCCTATCCTGATCTGCTTCAGTTTAACTACATTGAGACTCAGACTTTTTTTTATGTCAAATGAGATTGTATATGTCAAATGAAATTTCTGATTTTTTTGGCCTTTAAAGATTACTAATGAATAGTGGCTTATTTTTAACTCTTCCATGTGCATTTTATGGATTTCTGCCACTATTATTGCTGCTGCTGTTGTTGTTATTCATACTAAGTCTCTGGAATCCATGGTGCATTTTATTTCAGTTAATTCTATGTGACTAGTGGCCACCATATTGAACAGTGCAGTTCTGGGTTATTGACCGCTCAAGTAGTCTCTATTCACTTCCAGATGGAGAAACAAGTAGAGTAAGAGTTACCCATAAGCGTTTAGAAGATGGGAGAACCTTTATATATATAGCCTAATGTGTAACATATAGTTGGTATTTGTTAAATGAAGAATGGTTTAGATTTAAGGAACAGTTTTGTAGCAGGCTAGTTCCAGCGACACCCACGGGGGAGTTTCTTGTCAAATTTGATGTTATTTTTTAGTGTGTAAAAGAATCCTGAATTCTGTGATCTTTAAAAGTATGGAAACAGTGGTTCCCAAATTACCCTACACAACAAATTCATCTATTTTAATGTTCATATTTTAGGAAAGAAAGAGATTGTGGCTGCAGTTTCTTAGCCTTTTATGGTAGGGAAGAGATGGAAAACCAGCATTGCTGTGGTGCCCACTGTGCAGCCATTGTGTTGTATGTTTTGATCAACCCTACAGGTACTGTGTAAGGAATGGACTTGCTATCCTGGGCAAGCTTTGAATGGATTAGGTTTTGATCATGTTTGAATGTCTTTCGCCAGTCTCCCAACTTGATGTCATATAGGAATCATATGAACACTCTAATTCTGTTTAAGTTTCCTTAATAATTACATAGGTATTATTTGTCTAATAAATCACTTCCAGGAAAATTCTGGGTTAATCAAAAGGAAGATGATAAAAAATACACCAACAGGTAAAATCAGTTTATAGTATTCAGCTAAGTTGAATTGCAGTTTTAGAAACTTCTTGAAAAGCATCTTTTTTCATGTGCAGCCTGCAGAAAACAGCAAAAATCATCTAGGTACATATTTCATATTTTTAAAACCTTTTTAAAAAATAAAAATTGTTTTTTATTTTAGCTATGTGTGTTCGCTGTGTGTCTGTGTGGTGTGGGCATAAGAGTGCAGGTGCCTATGGAGACCGGAGGTGTCGGATCCACTGGAGCTGGAGTTACAGGCAGTTGTTGTAGCCTGATATGAGTGCTGGAAACTTTGAATACTCTTAACTACTGAGCCCTCTCTCCAGCCCCTTTAAAACTCTTTTTAGATCAGTTGAAAATTGCAGGAAACTTCCTAAAAATTAGGTATGGTCAGTTAAAAAGTCCTCTTGATTCAGAAGACAGGCTATTTTCTAAAGATGGTTTTGGCACAGATGTTTGAGTACATAATTTTATGCATCGTTTATTTGCCAGATTTTTTAAAAATATCTTTTCTATTGGCAGTTCATAACATTGTAAAGAAAGGTAGTTTCCTAAAGATTTATGGAGAAATCTTTAGAAGCTATTGTGTAATATATTATGAATTGATTTGATTTGTGTTCTGTCTGATAATTTTTAATTTATTATGTACAATTTTATTTGGATATGTGACTTCTAGATATTACCTAGGAAAATTGGGCCAGTAATCCCAGTAGACGGAAAACAGAATCAGGATGTCCACAAGTTTCATGGCTCTACATAGTGAATTCCAGGCCACTTTGAGCTACATAGCAACATCCTGTCTTTAAAAATTCTAGAAAAATTAAAGGTTTTACGAAAAGCCTTTCTTTTAGTTGGGGAAAAAATGACTAGCATTTATAAATGCAGGCTTGAGTGCTGAGCATATACTCTGGCTTTTGTGTTTTGTAAATAAACAACAGTGAAGGTGGAAGATGGGATGGCTTGATGAAGTTGGAGAACTTCCTTAATATGCTTTAATTTCTTGTGATACATAATCTAAAAGCAGTACATGAGATGCTATAGTTTTGTGATTTAAATTCTTAGGTTTGGGGAATTTGTTAATGCCTATTGTTTTCAGCCTGAGGAGACCTTCTTTTGACTTCCTTGATTGACTTCTTTTGATGTCCTTGAGTGTAGTCTTTACTCCGACTCCAGGATTGTATTGTTTGGGCTCCTCTCATTCTGGTAGAGATAAGGAACTAGGTAAACCGTACTGCCTAGGCACTACCTGCAGCCCCTGCCTCCTTTCTCTCCTCCTCCTGTAACAGTCTACTAGTTTTGGTTTTAGCCCATGACTGGCTGTAACAGCCATTCTCAACCCATTGGTTGTGACCCCTTTGGAGAGTCAAACAACCCTTTCACAGGGGTAGCCAAAGACCATCAGGCAAAAAATAGATATTTACATTATGATTCATAATAGTAGCAAAATTATAGTATGAAGCAGCAATGAAATAATTTTATGATTGAGGCTCAACTGCAACATGAGGAAGGGTCACAGCATTAGGAAGGTTAAGAACTAATGGTCTATAGCATTTAGCTGCATAAATGTAGAATGTTCCATTTTACAATTTTTTTTTTTAATTCCTCTTTTCCTTCAGGGTACATTCTCCTACAAAACCATCCAGTTACTCAGTAAAGTGGACGATAGAAGAGAAAGAACTGTTTGAGCAAGGACTGGTAAATAGAGAAATTTTTAACTTACGGTAAAATTATTCTAGAAGCAAGTAAGAAAAACTTTGTATATTGGCAATAGGAGATCAGCTGAATTCTTTTATCATTCAATTATTTGACATTGTGTATAAATCCACGCTTTTCATCACATATCTTTGAAGACTAGAAACATTTTTTGTATGAATGTTTTACTGAAATCTCTTTGAAAGTACAGAAGTTTTAAAGTATAAAAAAGTATTTGTGTGGTTTAAGTCCTGAAAATACTTCATAACATGGAGAAATGTTTAATAAAATAACCATTAACTTTTAAACTATTAAGAACAGGTTGTATTTTTTCTTTTAGGGTACATGTAACTTGGAATTATGCTAAATAGGTTTTTAGGTTGAATATTTATAAGAAGTGTAAATTTTTATGTAAGTTTTTTAATACAATTCAATTATATACAAATTATGAGAAATAAAATGTTTGTATTGTTTTAGTCTGTAGCATGACAGCTATGTATTCTGGTGTAACCTCTGTGGAGGTTTTTTTAAAACTTCAGAGTTTCTTTTTCTATGCTGATGTTAGTTACGCTGTTTTTCATTCTGTTGTATGACAGTCTAATCAACAGTAATTTATTTAGTTTGGATAGCTTTGAGGTTTGCCGTCGTCAAAAACTAAATATACATGTGTTCATATTTTCAAGTGGTTTCTGAACGTTAGTGTTGGCTATGGGGACCACATTTGTATGATAGAACTCACACTTACTGAAGTTACTTGGTAGTAAGTCTCACTCATTTCTGAGGTAATCAGCTATCTCTTCTTTGTATATGCTACTAAGGATCTTTTGTCCATATAAGAAAATGAGAATTTATTTATGTAGATACATAAAGTAAGATTTTTTAAACAGAATGTTTTCCTACAGAAGAAAACCCTTTGATTTACTGGGCAATTTATTGGTGGTTGTGTTGCCCACTTCCACCCACTGATACAGTGTCTTACGGCCATTTGGGATTCTTTCGGGCTTGGAAGGAGGTTGAGGAAGACTGACAGTGAAGGAATATTTCTTTCCTTCTGTTCCTTTAGCATGAGGCTAGATCTTTACTGCACTGTGAAACTAGTGGATATTTTCTGCATTCCTCTTGTTAGTGTCACTTTTCACAATCTTAGTTTTCAAGCCCCTGTAATCTCAAGGATCTCATTTTAGCTAGGCCCCTGCTGTCTCTAAATGTGTTTCATGCTTCCAAGTCATTGGCCTACACTCCCCAGTAGTTTGTTAACACAAGCTAAGTGTTACTCTTAAATAATTTATAATAGTTTTTTCAGAAGTACTTTCAGTTTTAACAAAGCATTCGTCTGAATAACAGAAATAAGTATATAAATGAAGCCTTGTCATTTGGGTCAGATCTTTAAAGATATTTCACAGCCACAAGCATGGCTACTTGGTCTGTAGATCTGAGACTGGGGAAATTTTTTCTTGACTGTATTTGGTTGTTTTTGTTTTGCCTTTTTCTTGATTTTAAGAATTGTATAATGAGGAGGGTGTTGTTGTCTGCTATGGGAAATATCTTGTGTTGGTGAAGGTTTCTGTACTAAATAAGGTTAGAGTTGGTGTCTAAATGTCCATTGTATATCTAGAGCTGTGTCTTTTCTTTTTTCTACTTGAAATCTCCATGGGACTGCCTAGGGTATGGCACGCCGTTGGCCCCAGAAGGGAGGCATTGGTTCTAAGTCTACTTCATCATTGATTGAATCTAAAAGTTATTGCACTGTATACCTGGTGTAGAATGTTTTTTATAGGACACCTAATGCTTAGGTGTCTGAATTTAACTCTGAATTTAAAAGTTGCAATTAGTGCGGAATGCGTCCATTTGATTCTGTAAGAAAAAGTTGAAAATGTAACCTACTTCTGCTTGGGGCTCTTATAAGTCATTTTGTTTAGGTTTCAGAACTGTAGAGTCAAATGTGGGCTTCGATTTTTTTTTTTTTTTTTTTTTTTAGGAGCATAGTCTAATCAGGTTTCATTTTCGTACTTTAGAAAGTAAAGATAAATTTTCTTTTAGTTTTTTCCTTTAATGTGTTAGCTGCTTGAACTATTACTAAGTAAGGTATGCAAAGCAGATTTGTTTTCTTTTTGATAACAGGCTAAATTTGGCAGGAGGTGGACCAAAATCGCAACACTAGTTGAAAGTCGCACAGTTTTACAAGTGAAGAGTTATGCCAGACAGTACTTTAAAAATAAGGTAAGCAGAGTACAAATACCCTAAATAATAATGAAATTAGGGTAAAGTCAGTAAGCATAAGTACTCAATGCAGACTAAGTATAGTCTGGATTATTTTATTTTCTCTGTTGTTGTTGCTGCTGCTGCTGAGATGAGACAGGATCTTACTCTATAACCCTGTTTCCGCTAGAGCAATATGACAATCCTGAATGCTGAGACTACAGGCATATGCCATCGCCTCTACTAAGTAATCATATTGCTAAGAGTTTCTATAGCTAAAGTAGTTTATACCCATAACATGCAACTGTTTTGAATCCTTAAAAAATTAACTGTTTGTTTTATGTGTGTGTGACCATGCATTTGTGCCGAGGCAGGAGGGTGGAGGTCAGCGACAGCTGTGGGAGCAAATTCTCTTCTTTCACCATGTGTGGACTAGAGATAGAACTTGTTGTCAGGCTTGCCTTATCCACTGAACCTCTGTCTGGCCCACTGTTTGTTTGTTTGGTTTTTAAGTTTTAAAAACACTTGGTGCAGCCATGTCCAATCTGCAGCCCATGGGTGGCTAAGAAGGAAGCTCATCGCACTCGGAGCTGGTGGTGCGGGTGGCAGTGCTCCAGCACCTCCTCACCATTGTGAGTGTTGCTGTTACACAGGTGTGGAGGCTGGACCTGGCAGTAGTCGTTTGTTACAGTCCGTAAAGCAAGTGGTACCTGAAAGGAAATGTTATGCAGCCTTACATTTCCTCTGGAGAATGCCTATTCTTTTATAAGTATTTGCACTGTAGAAACTTGTGGGAATTTTAGAGGTTAGGGGATGTAAATGCTAGCTAACATGGTTATGAAATCTGCTTAAGAACAAAAGAGTTTCTGTTGTTACAAAGAACTCTCTGAAAATTTTAATAACCTTTAATTTTTAAAATAATTTGTTCTGTATTAGCTGTGTACATTTTAAAAATTAGGATAATCTATTTTTATTTTATATGAATGGTGTTTTGCCTACATATATGTGTGTCCACCATAGTGTATGCAGTGTCCTCAGAGGCCAGAAGAAGGAGGACGTTGGATATTCTACGTGGAGTTATAGGTGTCTGTCAGCTTCCATGTGGGTTCAGGAAACTGATCCTATGTCCTCTGGAAAAGCATCCAGCACTTTGTAATTGCTGAGCCAGTTCTCCAGACCCAACTGGGTACTTTTAACACTTAGAATTTTTAACTGTTCATTTAAACTCTAGAAGCATAATTATATGAAATTCAGAAGTGTCTTAAATGAGAGATTTTTCTGATGTAAATAATGTGTTATAATAGGTATACTTTATTCAGTATAGCAAAAAATTGGGAAAGCTAGTTGTCTCTTACCAGATGACTGGATAATGAAATAAGTAAGTGTTTGTGTGTATTAGGATATATATAATATTAAGCAAGACCACATTATCTCAGAAAGATAAAAACTGTGTGTTCTCATTCTTATTTGGGATCTAGTCAATTATGTATGTTTATAAGTAGATGTATGTGTAGGTACAATAAAACATGTAGAAAAGAGCACAAGAAAAGCTAAATATTGGGGGATGACAAGACAAGACTGAGTACAGGTGATGGACATGAAGGATGAAAGAGGATGCAAAGCTAATTGCTTTTAGTTGAGCAAAACTGAAGCACCAGAATTCTGTCAAGGAGTTTTCATTTTTGGTGGTAGATAAGTACATAAAAATATATTGAATAGTGAAAGTGTGAAATCCAGTGTGAAGCCCCCACAGCTTCAGAATGGCTGTTCTAAGTTTACTGAGATGTATGGACTTTGGGTCTGGTTAATATTGGTGTGTACTGTTTATTTTACTTGCAAGGTTTTTAAAAATAATTTTATAAGATTTTTAAAAAGCAAGTGAAGATGTGATTGCTGGTTAACATGTACTTAGTTTAAAAATATTTTATCTAATTTTTTATGTGAGGTATTTAAACTTCAAATCTTAGTATTATATGTATACTATTTTGATTTTTAATAAGGTAAAGTGGGGTGTGAAGAAAGAAACCCTAACTCAGAAGAGCGGCAGTGGTCTTCAAGTGAAAAATAAAGATGAAAGGACAAAGGAATGGTCAGCATCATGTTTAAGGGGGCGTGCTGATCCTAACTGGAATGCTGTAAAAATTGAAAAGTTATCTGATGATGAAGATGTAGACATCACAGATGAACAAGATGAGTTGACTTCTCAAACACCACAAAAGAATTCTGGCAGCCATCTTACTTACGACATTCCTAATAGTAAAAGGTATAAAACCAACCAAGGAGAATTCATATGCCTAGAAGGTTCACTAGATAAATCTTCAGGGGAATATCTTCAGAATGAGAAGCAAAGGGAAATAGAAGCATGTTCCAGCTCAGAAATTATATCATGTGCTGAAAAACAAAACAATAATGGCAAAAACTCAATTGAATTAAATGAGAAATGCAATAAACTGGTTGAAGCATCTGATACTCAAGGTGGAAAAGGAATAACAGATGAGGCCAAGCACACACCTTCTCCAGAGTCCTGGGAGAGTCAGAAGGATTCAAGTGGAAATGAAATGCTTTTGTCTCCTTGCCCAATGGAGGAAAACCATGAGGGAGAAGAGCTTAAGCCACCAGAACAAGAAGTGGAAATAGATAGAAATGTCATTCAAGAAGAAGAAAAGCAAGCAATTCCTGAGTTTTTTGAGGGGCGTCAAACTAAAACTCCAGAACGCTATTTGAAAATTAGGAACTACATTTTGGATCAGTGGTAAGAATTACATTGTACATGTTCTAAAAACTTGATACTCTGAAGTATGTTGATTAGGCCTATGCAGAATTGAGGACTTGCTAGAGGTCTAAAGAGCTTTCACATGTCCTCCAGTAGTCAAGATTTAAAGTTTCTCAGAGTGAACCTTTTAAAAACTTTGGTAAGCATGGCCATTCATTGCTATCATAATGTCTATTTCTCTGTGGTACGTGAGCCTGGGAAGAAGGGAGTGATCTTTTGGAGGGTGGGGAACAGTTTCTTGAGGTAATATCAGGAAGCTATAACTATAAAACACTATTGTTCTGGAAAGGGGAGAATTTCCAATTTTCACATGTATTTGAGTATAAATAAGAACAATCTTAGAGACAGGAGTATCACTAAACATGGCTATATATTGCTGAAACTGTTCTCTGAAATAGCTCCTCAATGTTTGCAACTTTGAATGTAGAGTGAGCACAATTGTTAAACCATAGGCCACTCTCCTTATTAACCAAAATACATTGAAAGTAACTAGACTTGTTTATGGTAGCTAATTAAGCCTCCATTAAACATCTATAGTTTCTATTAATGTTTTAGAGAGCTTTCCAGTTCTTTGGGTGTGGGGATTCTGTGTAATCCTGTTTTCTCTTCTGTCAAAGGTTTTCCTGTCCTGTTTCATTCGCTTTCTGCTAGAACCTGGAAATGCCACCAAAGATTAACATGTACCTTATTAAATAATTCTCATTTCACTCAGAAAACATTAATTTACTTGGCTTTTAAGGGCAGCCATATTCTAAAAACAAAGATTGTATGCTCTTGTTTTGCTTCCTGGTGATCTTTCACTGACGAAAGCACTAAAAAAATCTTGTACTAAGGGTATCATTAGAGTAAGGAGCACTTAAAGAGAAAGAAACTGACATTTGCGTAGTGCTTTGTGGCTTACAGAAAGCTGTCCTGTGCCATCTCATCTGAGTCTTCACAACAGTCCTGTGAAATAGGCAAATGGGACCTTTGCTGTTTGAAACAGAATAGCTCAATTCTCAGAGGTTTGGGGTACCTGCCTTTTTTTGATCTTTCAGCCAGCCACTGACCCATGCAAGGTCCAGCTCACTCATTCTGTTACTCCACATTACCTAGTTGACAATTTTTAAATGCTGATTAAATTGGATCTCAGTTCACACCTGGGTATGTTTTGGAAATAAAAGGATGGATAGCCAAAATTGAAGGCCTTCAAAACAATTCCTACCTCTGCAATGTCACAGCTTGTGCATACTTAATATTATTTTAAACAAATTTTATCTGTTATATTGAACTCTGGATTTTAAAATAGGATAAATTGCATGGGTAGTGTAAATTTTGAAAATTGCAGGATTAATTACATGGGTAGTATAAATTATATGGCACTAGTTTCCTAGAGCCTTTACTTTAGTATACAAAGCCTATTTGGTATTCTATTTAAATATGAAGATTTAATAGAAAAGTGTGAAAGCAAAAGAAATATTTTTAAAGGGAAAAGTATAAAGTACAAAAACAACACAAGTGATACTTTAAAAAGGGAAGCTAACATTTTAAAAATAAAGAGCCCTACCAGACCTTTCTTTCCCATGAGAGCAGTTACAATTGTTTTTGTTTAGGGGTATGTTTTTATTAAAGCATTAACCAACTATTAATACCATATTCTGCCACATGTCGTGCATTATATTTAAACCACCCTCAATTCTTTTGACAGTCTTTACAAATGAAAAATGAGGCTCACAGAGGACGAGGACCTGCTTACAGGTCACACTAGGTGTGAAGTGGCTTCGCCTCTGTGTTGATTCAGTGTTTAAAAAGCTACAACTCGAGCCTTAGCTTCTTTTCCTTCAGAGCTATGACGCTGGCTCTTTGACTTCTTAGGCAGGAAAGGTGAGGTTTGTGGCCATGCGTGTTTCCTAGCTTAGTCCCTTCAGAATGCGGGCAATGTGAAGACAATTCTGTCTGTTTTGTTCATAAAGTGCCCACTGCTTAAGACAGTGCTTAAAAAGCAGAAGGCATTTTAGTTGTTGGAGGAATATTTGAGTGTCTTTGGTGAACAGAAATATTTACTATGCCATTAACAAGGCTGTTGAGTTTCTGGCAAAGCCTGTTGATTGGAGAAAACAGCTGTAGACTAAGCCAGTTTTCAGGGTCCTGTCATTTTTTTTAGTAGCTGTGCACTTTCCTACGTTCTTGTTGTATTTGTATAGTTTGCGTTTCTTTCATGAAATCTCAGCTTTTCTGTGGAAGTTACAGTATTCTCCTCTGTAACGATTATTTTCACCTTCTATGGACCCCATAGGTTAATAGATTTAATTTTGTCTGTTTCAGGCAGCCCTCCCTAAGCACCCTATCTAAACTAGTCTGTGCCTGTTTGCTGTCCTATATCCACTTAGGCTTCTTGTTCCTTTTAGAGCTGTTACCTGATAATGTAGTACATATTATTCCTTTATGTATTGATAGTCTCCATTGGAATTTAAGGTCTTTCAGTGTATGAAGTTTGTGGTGTCTACCACTCAGACCATTGTTCTTATAACAGGGTCTGGGACATGGGACACAGATAGAATAGATATACTTATAGGATAAATATAGATATACTTATAGAATAAAATGTGATTAAGTAGCATCTGTGCTGTCACTTAATGCCTGGGTCAGTGTCAGCATCTTGAGCTTATCACTTCATTGTGCTAAGCAGGTGCTGTAATGATTCAAGTCAGCTTATTTGCTGCCTTCCAGGTAGGATTGGTAAAACCTTTCTCCTAGACTTAATGAAGGTTGAGCATGTGTACCAACTGCAGCATTTGGCATAATCAGTAATTGATTTCTACTGTTATAAATTTCTCTATTCCGGGTAGATTTTATATTGTGCCTTCTAGCATTAGACTTTACGCAAATATGATTATTATGTGAATCTTTAATTTCATTGGGAGTTTCTTGATTGTTTTGGAAATCCCCTAGAATTCTTATATTTGTTTTTCTTTGAGAGTAAGTGCTTACAGTTAAAAATGAATATACGATATTTCAATATTTTGAGAAAGCTAATAGTTAACAGCATTGGGAAAGCCTTGAGGCTGAGGGTATAACTCAGTAATAGAACAGCTGCCTGGCAGCATGAAGCCAGTAGTATAAAAAAGGGGAAAGTAGGGGAATGTCTCAGTACTGTCTTCTCAGTTCCCAAAGTGCTCTTTTTATTCACAGAGTAGATGTGAATTTGATTCTCTACAAAATAAGCTACTAATCTCAAGGTTTGGGGATACCTGGGATCTGGGGGGTTTAGTATTGGGGAAAGAATACTTGTAACACAATCACACTTACAGATACTTGTAAGTTGTTGAATCCTTTAAAGATATTGTACTTGTGAAAAAAAGGACACTTGGGTATTTATTTGTTACACAGTTAGGCACTGAGTGAGGGTAAAATTTTAAGGTATTTCATATATTAAAAGTTTTCCCCAGAAATCCTTTTTAAAATGTTTCTATTCATCCAAAATAATTGTACTTCCATCTCTTAATTAGGGAAATATGCAAACCGAAATACTTAAATAAGACCTCAGTACGTCCTGGCCTGAAGAACTGTGGGGATGTTAATTGTATTGGACGGATTCATACATACCTCGAGTTGATAGGAGCAATCAATTTTGGATGTGGTAAAAATAAAAACCCAACAACATCTTTTACTTGGCATTTTTTTATCCTTATAGTACCCATTAATTTTTATGACGGTTCAAATTCAAGTGGATTTAAGTATATGGAATTCAGAAAGTATAACATTATAAAATAAATGTATCATTAAGATTTTGATGTTAAACAGTTATCTGCTAATAAACTGTTTCCCTTTGAAGATATAATTGTAAAGGAAAGTATTTTATCTACATAATAGAAATAATTTAACTGAAGAATTCTTTGTCAAGTAAAAGTATATAATTTCATGAGAAATCTGAGAAGAGCCTATTTATGTTACAAATAGATTGAGACCAGCATGGCTGTTAAAAAAGTTTAGATGTTGGGGGCATTTTCTGGTTTGTTTGTTTTTTTTCCATATATTCCAAGATCCAAAAAAATCTGAAATTTGAAATATATCTGTTCCCACACATTTTGTAAAAGTGTTACTCACCCTGTGCTGTATTCTTGCTAGAGAGTTTCTTGCTAGCAGGGATTAAATAAAGGGAATAATGTATGAGCCTATATACGTAATTATAATAAAAACACAAAATTTTTCTAATGAGGCTGGTCATTTGCCCCTAAGCCTGAAAAGTTTGATCATTGGGATCTACCTGATACGAGGGAACCAACTCCCAGAATTGTCGTGTGACTTCATCATGCACGCACCTGCACATGTGTATACACACACAGACACACAATACTTTTAATTAGTGAAAGTCTTTCGTTATTAATTTTTTTATGTCAGCGTGAGTTCTACCCTATCATTGAATTCACTTGACAAAGCTGCTGATGGGTAGTAATAAGGAACCAGAGCCTTATCATCCCTGGTTTTTGGAGGTGAGCTAGACACCTAACCAGAAAACCTCTGACAGATGATTTCATTTTTTTGTGTGTTAAGAATGTACAGTCTCCCTTAGGGTTACTCTTCTACGAAAGCTTTGTGTCCCAAGCTCTGTGTAAAGACTAGCTTTTTAGGAAAGTAAGATATTTTAACTGCAGCCACAAAGAGATGACATAGTGTTTTCTATATTAACCTGCCAAAGTCAGCAAAATGGGCTCAGCGCTTATTTAACCAGAAGTTATACACATTACTTATTTCTTTGATAGTTGCTTTTATTGAGCTGCCATTTAATAACAGCACAGTTTATTTGAGAACTAAATGGGACATCAAGTGTATGATTGTGGGGTAAGAATCATGGGAGCTCAGCTGTAGACAGTATAGTATCTTCCTAATTAACAGACTTCACAGAATAATAGCTTGTTTTATCTCTCCTAAATTCCAACAGAGCAGGCAGTATATAACAGGCCACAACCAGTGGATAAAGTACGAGTGAGTGACAGAAAAGATGTAGAAGCAGCAGAAGCAGCATACCAGCTTGCCCGGCGCCTGCAGTCTATGGTAAGCAGTTGCTTTACTAAGCAGAATGTCACTGAGTAGAAGAACATGTTTTCTCTTGTTTTTCATCTTAGCCATTTAATTGCATATGAGACAAAACCCAAACAAACTAGAAAACCCTTCAAATCCACTAACAAAGTATACAGAAACATACTAAATAAAGTGCTCATAAGCTACTTGGTTTTGATTTATAAACCTAATATGTTAAGTGCCGGAGAGATGGCATAGCAGTTAAAAGTACTTGTTGCTCTTGCAGAGGACCCATGTTTGTTTCCCAGCAACCATATCATACAGACTGCAAGCTTTTGTAACTCCAGTTTCAGAGGATCTGGCACCCTCTTCTGGCCTCTGGGCATCAGGCATGCATGTAGTGCACAGACATACATGCAGGCAAAACACCCATACACATTGAGAAAACAAATAAAGCAACACACAGCAGCCGCGTGTGGTGGCACATGCATTTAACCTCGGCATTCACAAGGTAGAGGCAGGCAGACCTCTGTGAGTTAAAGCCTACCCTGGCCTCCACAGTGAGACCCTGACTCAAAAGTAAAAGTTACCCAGCAAGTTTCCTGTAAGCCAGAGTCACAGTAAGATCCCGCTAGTTTCACATTAAACTGGTAACAGGGAAAATAAATCTCAGACTATTTTGCCTTTGAACAGTTTCTACTTCAATTTGCTGTCTTAAGAAAGGCTGTTTTCAAATGGCTCTTTGGAGATCATACAAGTTAGTTACACAACTATCTTTGGCAGCTGGTCTATTTTAAACACCTCAGGTATTATGTTTGCAAAGCTAGATGAGTCATAAAATCTACACATTTTGCAATTTTTCACTGCTTATTTTAACTTGGCTCTGGCCATTCTAAAGCTGGGATAATTGTTTGTTTCTGTTTTCATTATACCTTTTGCTATGTGTTCTTCTCTACAAGAGATAATTGGAAGCAAGTCCATTTTCTTTGTGCTTCTTTGTGGTCTAACAGTACTTTTATCCTGGTATGTTAGCTTCTAAGTGGTAATAGAAAGGAGAATAAAGAAGAAACCAAGGAAAATGTAGAAAGTCTCGGTGCTGTGTTTTTTAAAGTGATACACTGATGCCACCACCCAGGTCCTACCTTGCAGGTGCTGCTAAGTGCCCTTGAGACGTGGGTTGACTAACCAAACTGACTGCTACACCTGGGCAACAGAATACAGTTTATTGAGTTGATGATCGGATATTACACAGTAGTTAAGTAGTAAAGATTTAGAAAGCTACTGTTTAGTTTTTGTGTTTTCATGTGGTTAGGATTTTGCCAGGTTCATGTTACATTTTGCCTGTATTTTTCTCTTAACGTAGCGTACAAGGAGACGGAGGGTCAGAGACCCATGGGGAAACTGGTGTGATGCAAAAGACTTAGAAGGGCAAACATTTGAGGTAATCTTGACCTTATTTGTGGCTTATCCATGAAACCTTTTTTCATTATTTTAATTCCTATATATTGCACTGATTCCATTGTTAATGTGTATGTGCTCATCTCCATGTTAATTAGTTTATTGAAAAGTTACCATTAAACAAGCCAGAGGTATCAGTGGTACAGTTAAGCTATAAGTTTGACTTGTGCTCAGAATTTTGATTCTCTTATCTCTTCATCGTTGTTTCTAAATCAAGAATAAGTACCAGACTTAGTTGGTGTACTCTATTTATGTCATTAAATGATGTTATGGTGTTTGATAAACCAATTAAAATACTTTTCTAAGGGTGGGGTTGGGAGGGAATGAGGGAGGGGGCTACAGCTGGGATACAAAGTGAACAAACTAATTAATATATAAAAATTTAATAAAAAATACTGTCCTAAACATTAAGAATATTGAATGATAAATTTTGAAGTATTATTTCTACTAATAGAAATTTGGACCCTGAAAGAAACATAGACAACAGATACTGTACATATGTACACACATGTTCATATATAGAATTTATTGTAGATAATTAGTGTAGTAGAGTGGAAGTAAGGTATAAGTATGTATTTATTAGCTTTGTTTCTCAGGAAGCTACTTAACTATACCAAATCTCAAATTGTAATTTGTGAAGTATGGATAATACCTCTCTGAAAGGATTTTAAGAGAACTAAGGTGAAGTATATTAAGGTCCTAGTATTAGTCATTCAGTATGCTTGCTTGGACAAGGTACTCAATAAATGTCACCTTTCTCGTGCCCCTCCTCTTCCTGTCCCTAACTTTACGTTAGTACTCTTGTTGATGTATTAATAAGTAATACATGGTTCCTTCCCATAAGGTTGGTCTAAGGATATGAGGTACTCCCAAAGAGTGTGATGAGGAAAGAGTTCACAAAAGATGAGATGTTTGAACCAAAGGATCAGGAGAAGATCATCTCAAAATGTAGATGGAAGCATTCTAGGCTGAGGGAGTTGCACAAGCAAAGGTACAGATACAGGGAAATACTGATACTCTGGGAAAGGTGCCTAGTGTCTTTAATTTTAGAGTAGAGGGGTGGTAGTAGAAAGTACTGGATTGTGGACATTGATGTCTAACTTCACAGTACACCGTGACATTTTATTATTGCTGTTAGCATTTATTTGGTAAAGATGTGGATACTGAAGCAGGAAAGCTTCAGAGCTTAGCGATGTTCTCTCGGCTGCTGTGGAGTAGAACCAGCCCTGCATTTCTGCTCCAGAATTTTAGAATGTTGAGGACCCCCACTTCCATGGTGCCAGAGATCAAACCAGGACCTCATCCATGCTAGGCAATGTACTACTTTATAGCCGATTTACCCCCTCAGCCCTAGGAATCTGCATTCTTAATTATCACACTGTGATGTCTGAGTGGTGAAAGAAAATTCAGCCACCTTAGCCCTGGAAGCTAGAAATGAGAAATGAAAGACTTGAAGGTTTTTGAAATGTAATGACTACTATCATTGATTGAAATGGGCAAATCAGAAGAAACAAAACTTTCATTTTGATAGGGCTATATATATATAATTTTAGAGGTTATTGCCTAAAATTTACTAGTAGCAAGGAGACAATGTATATCAACTTGGTTGATCTTGTCCTCACATGTCCTTAAGCTGCATTAGATATTTATTCTGCCTAAGTAGCTGATGAACCCTCTGATTGACTGTTTTGTTCTAGCATCTGTCTGCAGAGGAGCTGGCAAAAAGAAGAGAAGAGGAGGAAAAGTCCAAACCAATTAAATCTTCAAAAGCTTCAAAACTACCCAAAAGGTACAGGGTTATGTTATATAATGTATTTTCTTAACACACATGGTTAGAAAGTACATGAAGAAATACCCAGTTGCTGCATTAGATACTTCATATAAGATATATCAGATTTTTTTTTCTTTTTTCCTCATGTGTGAGTGTGTGTGTGTGTCCATGTCCCTGTGTGCATACGTGAGCCTGAGGTTGATGCCAAGAACATCCTTTATCATTCCCATACCTTATTTATTGAAGCATGCTTTCTTCATCAAACTGGGGCTTGCTGATGTGGTCAGTTTTGCTAGTCAGCCTGCTCTGGAGACCGGAGTGACAGCTGAGCTGCTGTACTCACCGGCATTTGCAAGGGTTTCTGGAATTCCAAACTCGGGGCTGTCGCTCACAGACAAGCACTTAACCACTGAGCCATCTTCGTTGCCCCTTCAACTGTTTTAATTGAAAAATTACTGATTACATATTGGAATTTTTTTTTTTTAATTATTTTATGTCACTGGTTATCAATTTCCAAAAGTTTGGGCCAGAGTTTCAATGTTCTGGCTCATTGAGTGTTGTGGATTGCCGAGGAGACCTCTGTATATGGGAGTCATTCAACTCTAGGTATGACTGGACAGTCTTTCTGGCTGAACTTTCACAAGTTGTTGTGGAATTTGTTGCTTTTAATGTGATACAATGAACTGAAGTTTTTTAATTTGCAAAATTGTCGGAGTAAGTTGAATTAATTGATTTTTCTAGGCATCCTACCTCCTGCAGATGCCCCATTAAGTGGACTTTAGTTTTGGCCTTTTACTTTGCACAACAAGATATTAAATGCAGTTGTGGTTGTATTTCCTGGGCAGGGCTTTGAAATTGTAAATTAACTAAAGCAGCTAACGTGGTTTGCTGTGTTTTAAGTACTTTATTTATGTAAGCACACTTCATTCTTTGACAACCCTTTGCAGTGTTAGCATCATGCCCATTTTACCCATAAGAAAATGGGGTGGCAAAGATATATTTAGTTGTGCCACTTAGGGTGGAAACTGTTTAAGCCTAGGCAGAATGGCCAAAGAATCTTAGACCTGGTACCTTAACTCAGCTCATTGTTTGTTACCTCTCCAAAGTGGAAATTTAATCTTACCCTGTGGACAAAATGGACTAAGTATTAAAAAATACATATTAATACACACACACACACACACATACACACATATATATATGTATATATATTGATCCCAGACTCCTTCCAGTACCCAGACATTTAATTTTCTGGCTCTGTATGTGAGTTCATTGTGATTTTTAAGTTATTCTTTCTTGCCAGGAACCTTTTAAATCCACGCATGCTTTCCTCATCTTTGTGCTTTTGGCATTGATTGATTAATTGACTTAGCAATTTAGCATTGCAGTAGTTACTTTTTCTACTGTTGATCACCAGATAAAAAAGCCTACTGGAATAAGCCTCAGAAATCCTTGTTCCATTATCTAATATACCTTAACACAGGAATTTATCTTATTCGCACACAAATCATAGATACCTTGCTTTAAAACTTAGATTTATAAATTGTAATGTCTAGTTTGCAACAGATCATTCCTAGCAAAATGTCTGTATACTTTATTATGGGGATATTTATTTTTCATGAGCTCATTAATATTAATATGAGCTCCACTTTGTTTTTCTAGATATTCACCAGTATTCAGTATTCAGTAGTGCCTCTGTTTCCAATAACTAGTTTTTGTGTTTTGTCCATTAAGTGTTTCTGTAGCTCTCTGATCTTTCATCTTCAGCAGCCCTTTAAGAAGCATCAACCTGGTAATGGAAAGGTCACTCAGTGGTTGAGAGCACGGGCTGCTTTTCCAAAGGACCAGGGTTCTATTCCAGCACCCTCATGGCAGCTCAGAACTGTCTGTAACTGCAGTCCCCGTGGATCTGACATCTTCATACCAGTGCACGTGAAGTAAAACTAAAAATTATTTCTTTCTTAGAAAGGGAGACATCAGCCTGCTCTTGTCTGTGCAAGTTAAATTCAGAGACATTCTTGGGTTCTCTTTTCAACATTTCCACATTTCCAGTCTGTCTCAGTCTGCATTATAAGTGTATGCCTGATAGCTTTGGAGGCTAGAAGAGAGTGTTGGATTCCCTGGAGCTGGAGTTACGGATCATAGTGAGCCGCCGTGTGGGCACTGGGAATCCAGTCTTGGTCTTCTGGAAGAGCAGCCAGTGTTCTGACCCTTCAAGCCATTTCTCCACCCTAACCCTTTAGCTACCCTCACATACTCTTTTGTCAGATGGGAATTCAACCTGCTACTCTTTCCAAGTTGTCTTACTAGAAATATTTCTGATTGATTTTCTTTCTATAAACATTATTCCAATACCTGGAGATAGAGCTCAGTGGTTAGGAGCACTTCCTGCTCTTGCAAAGGACCTAGGTTCAGTTCCCAGTACCCACGTAGAGGCTTACAGCCATCCATAACTCCAGCTGCAAGGGAGCTGACATACTCTTTGGAGTATGGTGGGCATCACATACACTCCGTATACATATCTACATTCAGGCAAGCACTGATACACATAAAGTAAAATTTTATAAATCTAAAAAATAATAAATTTTGAACTGCTATTTTCTTTCAAAAATCAATGTTAGTGGTCAAAGCCTTTCTTAGAGGGACTTTTTGGTTTTTGTTTGTTTGTTTGTTTTTGTTTTTACATGCTTTTGTATCCAGCTTTGCTTAGCTTCCCTTCATCTCTTTACATTTTGAAGTATTATCATAGGGCTTTCTGTTTGCATTAATTTGTTTAATAAACTTGTTAGTTACTCCTTAGTTTAAAAGGCGTTTATTGTCTTAATGAATCTGTTAAGATACTGACAAGTATTGGTGTATGTGCATGCGTTTCCTTTGAGACAGGGTCTCAATCTGTATCCCTGGTTGTCCTAGAGCTCACTGTGTAGACCAGGCTGGCCTCTGCCTCCTGAATAGTGGGATTAAAGGTCTTACACTCAATTTGACAAGCTTTTATGAGAAACATCTTACTTGAACTTTCTGTCAGGACTCTTCATTTGCTAAAAGGAAATAAAACACAGCTATTTTGTCCCAGAGTTCCTGCTTTTAGTCAGATATGTAAGAATATGTAACTCCCTGTAAGAGATTCTCCTGGCCTAATATTTTTTTCATACAGGCAAAAGTTTGGGTTTATATTTTTGCTAATTTTTCAAATTCGTGATTATTACTTTATCTCAATCTCCTTGAGACTATATTAATTCTTTTTTCTTTTTTCAGCTCACTCGATCCCTTCCAGCTGATACCTTGTAATTTTTTCAGTGAAGAAAAACAGGTACTTGTTATCAATGAGCAATCATTAATAATGCTCCCATCCAACAGGAAATACTTACTCTTTATCTGTGTATGTAAGGCATGTATATAAATGAATTGGACATTTAGGGTGTAGTAAGGAGCAGGTGAATGGGTCAGGCAGAAAATGAAAGAAAAAAGTGGTGTTTTAAAGTCTCGTTTGTACTGGACTTTGTTGAATGGTGAGAACTTGGTGGGTGGGTAAGGAGAAAGAATGTATATGTCTATGGGAAGAACAAAAATCTTTTCTTAATGTTCCCCTCCTTTTTTTTTTTTTTTTTTTTTTTAAATTCAGGAGCCATTTCAGGTGAAAGTAGCCTCAGAAGTACTTTTAATAATGGATTTGGTAAGGATAACTTAACATGCTTTACTTAGTCATTATGATTTCTGTTCTTGTATTCTATTTCTTCTTCTTCTTCTTCTTCCTCCTCCTCCTCTTTTTTTCCTCCTCCTCCTTCTTCCTTGCATGCCTAAGAGAAAGTAGAAGATACATATTTCAGATTTCAACTATTCTCTTTACAAGGAATCAAATTTCTTTTCTTTTGAGGAAAAGCCAGACAATGGTATGTTTCCATATTTTAGAAAAAATAAATTCATATGAGTTGCAGATTGTCTACCATCATTAACCTTTTACCATTTTCTGCTGTCCCATGTCTGCTGCCCGGTAGATGACTAAAACCCCAGTATGTCTAAAACGCAGGGGTTCCTTGTTTGTACTGTCTATAGACACCTAACCTTGTCTATGTGTTGGTTTTCTACAGAAGGTTCTAGGATGACTTACTTTGTGTCCCTAGGATGCAAATGCTATCTTCTTTCTTAAGTGAACAAGTCCCATCTTCTGGTGTGTGGTTCAAAGCTTCTTGGGCATCAGGAAAGAGACTGAAGTTCGAACCCCGCCACCAGCTCCCTGCCATGCCTGTCTATTCAGAGCAGTGCAACAGCATTGTTATATACTAGTGAGGCGGGTTGTGTTGGCTGTGTTTGTGGATTTGGCCTTAAGTCTGTCCTCATGTTTCTTTTAGCATGCTCACGTGTCAATGGCAGAAGTGATTGGGCTGTTAGGAGGAAGATACTCAGAGGCTGATAAGATCCTTGAAGTAAGTCTTTTTAAAATATTTCAGTTACCAAGTCTGGCTGCTATACCAAATACTTGATAGAGTTCAGAAAATAAAATTAAAATATTGAGGTATGGCTCTGTGTGAGAGTATGCAAGTGTAGATGGTTATGCATCAGAAGGTACTTAGCATTCCACATACTCAGCATCTGTTTTCTATCAAGGGAGAGAGCATTCTGCCAGCCTTGGCTACACACTACACTCAGCAGAGAAAAGCTACAACTAAGGGTGGGAATGTATTCTAGTGCTTATGGGTAAAAATTGTTACATAGCATTCTGCTGAAACTATTTGCATATGTAATAAGAATTGTTGAAAATGTCGTTGGGTAGGCATTATGGTGCAGCCTGGAAAACTAACTATTGTCATGCCTTTTAGATTAGAAAACTGTTTGCCAAGTGCCTGCTACAGTCACACTATTGGAGTTTAATTTATCTGGCAGGTAATAGAATTAATTTCACTGTAATCATGTAAAAAAAAAATCCTTTACAGGTCTGTGCAGCGGAACCATGTAACAGTCTCAGCACAGGACTACAGTGTGAGATGGATCCTGTGTCACAAACACAGGCCTCAGAAACCTTGGCTCTTAGAGGCTACAGTGTTATTGGCTGGTACCATTCTCACCCCGCGTTTGATCCTAATCCGTCTTTACGAGATATTGACACACAAGCCAAATACCAGGTGTGTTTGTAGTGTTGCATACCTACATTTTGTAAATTATTTATTACACATTCTTTTGTTGATTTCTATGAAATAAAAACATCTGTTATTTTTAGCTTTACACTTCGAACATTCTTTACATCTGTAGTTTGAAATAACTTGCCTTTTTTATTGATACATTAGTAAGCATTTGGAAGATCAGTAATTGAGTATAGACAGGTTGTTTTGTTTTGCTTGTTTGTTTTTAGACAAACTTTTAGAGCCTTTCACAAACTGACAGGAAGAAGTAGGACAGGACTCGTTGCAACTATAGTAGTTGGAAGCATTGATGCATCTCTTAGGGAAAAAAGTTTTGTTTTTATTCAATTTTATGTTCAATGTGCATTTTCTATGTAAGTAGCTATTTATAGTTATTGCCATGCTAGTAAGAATTATAGTCAGATTATTTGGTATTATAGCATGTAAACACATTTATTATGTTTTGTTTGACAAAGACTGTTACTCTCTGGGTCCAGGTTAGAACTTGTAATTCACCATTCCCCTGTCTCAGCCTCTTGAGTACTGGGAGGTAGACACATACCACCACCCCTAACTAATGTACGCGAACTTTTGCTATCATTTTGTAATTTTGTATGTATGTGTGTGTGATGAGGTGCATACTCCTTGTGCTTGCACATGAGCCAGAAGAGAACATTCCAAGTCCTGTCACTTTTTTCCCCCTTGAGATGAGATATCTCACTGAGCCTGTAGCTAGGCTGGTACCCAGGCATCACCCTGTCTCCCCATCTCCTGCGTAGCACTAAGGCTACAAGTTACAGGTGCATATAATTGTTTACACCAGGCTTATTACGGGGATTCTGAATAGGAGAACCTTTGTCCTCCTGCTTACATACTAAGCCATTCTCTGAGTCATGGTGCATGTATTTTTAAGAAGCATTTCTGATGAAAAAGTGAACAGTTTGTATCTGAAATGAGTACTTAAGACATTTCACTCAGTTGCTACTATTTGAATAGAGCCCGTTTTTGTTTTCTTTTCTCCAGTTAGCTATGTAGAGCATTGATAATTGAAATTAATTATACTTTTCTTATCATTACAGAGTTACTTCTCCAGAGGAGGAGCAAAGTTCATTGGAATGATTGTTAGTCCATATAATCGAAGTAATCCTTTACCATATTCCCAGATTACCTGCTTGGTTATAAGTGAAGAAGTTAGTCCTGATGGGACCTATCGTAAGTTGTCAGCAATCATAAGTTCTTACTATCCCTATCCTCAAATCACAGAATATTTGATGAGAAAATGTGTATATCACCCAAGGACTCGATGGACGCTACCTAGTTAAATCAGCCTCGTTTCTTTCATTCTAGTTTGCCATGGCCTTATTTAAAAGGGTGAAACTGTGGAGAGTGTTAGAGGCGGCGGTACGTGTGCTGAGCACTGGCATCGCCGTGTTGCGCAGGGTGTGCGTGCGGGCACTGTGCAACTGCCTGCATAGGCAGGGTATATAGACTGGTCATGGGGACACTGCAGTGCCCAAACACAGCTCTCCTCTCATGAAAAGCTTTCCATGCACACAGTCTCGCTTTCTCTGCTGGGGCATGTAAACAAAGGACAAAGCCATAACCCTACATTTCCATTGCCTCCCGAGGGATTAGGCTTCCCAGAGACAGACTGACTTCAGATCTCCTAAGTCCCATCTGTCTCAAGAAAGAACTAGTTTGACACAGCCAGTTACCTAAGTTGTTTCTCTGGGATGTGTCTCCTCTGGTTGTTCTAGTTAGTTTTCTCTTCACAGGAATTAATATAACAGACTAAGAAAGGCAGGAAGGGAACTTTGATGGAAAGGAAGTAGTTGGAGGCTCAGATTTTCTCTGACTGTAATTCATTGTGAAATGCTTGTGCAGTGTTCCCTTCCCTATTGAATAATGACATCTTTGCCACTACATACTGTAATGCACTCACATTTCTATCCAGCTTCCAGCCTGGAGCCTGGCACAAAGTGAGTTCTAAATGAATGTTTGCTTAAAATTAGTTTCACTTTATTCCTAATATTCTTTGGTGCTCTGTACTTCATAAAATATTTTCAGCACTGTTGACTGTTAATGTATCTTTTTCTTCTTTATAAATCTGCAATACTTTTCTGCCTTAATGACCACTTTTTTCACTTTTTTATTTATTACAATTTATTCACTTTGTATCCCAGCTGTAGCCCCCAGCTGGGATTGGGATCCCTTCCCAATCCCATCCTCCCTCCCTCTTCTCCCATGTCCCTCCCCTAACCACTTTGTCTCTTAATACAATTTATTTATTATTTTTTATTCCTCATACCAACTAATCAGCACTGAACTTTTATTAAATGAATAATATCAGTAGTGGTTTCAAATGCCCTGCTGAGTACAGCACATAATTCTTCAACTTGACTATAATATGTAAACATTATGAAAGAAAGCATCACAGAAAACTTGTCTTTTCTAAGTCACATCTCAGTCTTCTGGGTTTTGGTCATAAGCCTCTATTCTAATCATTTCTAATACAGTAGTGGATACTGGATACATGTAACTATTCACATATAAATTAATTAGAATTTAATGATTTAAAGTTTATGTAATCCTGCTTCGTGTCAGAATGAAGTAATGAAGATTTTTTTGAAGCAATCAAAGTAATAGGTAAAATATATAAAACAATAGAATTTTATTTAGGATATAACTCAGGCTGTGAAGGAAAATAGTCGCTAAAAATGGAAAATAACTCCATTAAGCTCAAATTGCCATACTTAGTGATCAGGAGGAGAGAAACTCAGCCAGGTTCTGGCAAACGAGTGAAGGTGATGGAGGTGAGGCAGCTCTGTTACCAGAGAACAGTGTGCTGCATTATTTCACACTGAATTCCAGAGTCCAGAAGGTTGTAGATAGTACCCTCTCATGTAGTTAGCAAAGTATAGATAGCATGTGCTCGTGAAGAAAGGAGCAGAGGCAGGGGACTGGCACTCCGAAGAATAAGCTCCATTGACTAGCACACAGATACTCAGTCTGTTGACCTTGCAGAGTCTGTTGGTCAGAGTGGCCTTGGGAACTTGCCTGTTGGTAACAGTGTGTATTAGAATGTGGTCATGTGAGCTTTGAGTCATTTGCTTTGACTTTTTGGAAACCATGTAGCACAGGAGTCGAGGTTGTCTACAAGTTTTAAGATAATGCTACTTCTTACTTGTAAACCCAGTTGTGTCTTTAGAAGGTCTCTAATAATAAGCATTTTCTGTACTTAGTGATTGTTTTTTTTAATATCATATTAGATATGAATATTCTGAATGAAAGGCAACTTTTACTTAGGTGCTTTTTTAAATAGAATTTTTCTTAGTCACACCAAGTAGTTATGTATAGTTTATGCAAGCATATGTATGTTTTTCTATCAGCTGCCAACCTGTAGTATTTACTTTATTCCCACTTTTAACTTTAATTAAGAATAAAAATTACTTAACTATATTAAGATCCTGGCTCTGACATGCACTCTTTATTTTACCTTGGGCTTATACTCTGGTTGGCCTCTGCTGCTTCTGTTAATGAGGAATACAATTACCTTGTTTATAGAGCCAGTACTTGTAAGGATTGTAAGCATGCACCAGGTTGTCAGTAGATAGTTACTGTAGCTGGCAGCTGTGCTTTGTAGGTAGCCCAGGTGTTGTCTTCACCAAAACAAACCTGCTCAGTGGCTCCTGTAGGATGTGTCACTGTTAAGTTGCTAGAAGGCAAGGGAGGAGAACTGAGAAAAGAAAAGAACCATAGTCATCATCAGGCTTGCTGTCTCTTTCCTCCTATAAACTCGTGAAGAAAGAATTAAAGCAAATAAGCAAAAAAACTGCTTCTTTTATGCATTTTGACAGTTAGGCTGACTTTTGTTTCGTTGTTAAAGTGCCATTGTCCTAGTCTGAATGCCTGATAGTTTCCGCAGCTTTAAAGTAGGAATGCTGCCTGCCGATGCAGCATTGATGACTTGTTCTAAGGTACTGTGTCTTGCTTTGCTGAGAACAGTCCCAGTTTATTACTAACAGTGCCCTCTTCTGCTCAAAAGCTCTCTTGGCTTGGATGATAAATGAGAAGACATTCTGCCTTAACAGAGCTTTTCACAGAACTGTCAGGAAAGGGACACTTACTTTTCTTCATTACTAGTAATAGCTTAGTATTAACATGCTTGGAGGGACACATATAGTCAGGCAGTAAATATTTGATGAATGCCCAGTGTTTAAAGAGCTATTCAATTGGTCTGCCAAGCTGTTAATTAAAAACACTGAAGAGAATTTTAATTAAAAGGAGATTGGAGAAATAGTTGATGAAAATGTGCATCTTTACACTTCTCTAGGTTTACCTTACAAATTTGAAGTACAACAGATGTTAGAAGAACCTCAATGGGAATTAGTGTTTGAAAAGACAAGATGGATAATTGAAAAATACAGGCTTTCTCATAGGTATGTGCTATCCTATAGGGGTTTGTGATATCCCCACACATTTGTAGGCTTTCTTGTTAAATTGAGTCAGAGAAAGCAAAGCCTAGATTAAATATAAAATCCTGATGCCCGGCATCAGTGACAGTTTTATTACACAAACCAATTGTATATTTGTCTTAACAGTTTCTTTTCAAATTTCTTCCTACAGCAGTGTCCCCATGGATAGAATCTTTCACCGGGATTCTGACCTAACTTGTTTGCAAAAAGTAAGCTGCCTTCATTTTTAATGGTTTCATTATTCAGATTCCAAAGCTCTAGTCATCTTGGTGTGTTTGGATACATTTTCAATCTTTTCTTTATTGATTTACTTTGTAAAAACAGTGTGTTTTATTGGCTAAGAGTGTACATAGAAATAATACTCTTTTATAATACATTTCTCCGTGTTGACTTAAGTATTTCTTACCAGTTTATTGTATATAATGAAAAAAAAAACTTTTATCTTTAAAATTCACAAGTACCATGTTCTCTTTTAACTGTAATGGTTGACCATTTTTTAAGAAATACAGTATAAGTCTAATTTAAATGCTCATTTTGCTCTAACTTTGCATTTAGAAAATAAAGGTTTAGATTTTGTTTTTACACTTCTGGTTAAGATGAATAATAGACTGTCAACATTTTTTTATTTTATTTTAGTTGTTTTGGCAATATTACTAAAAAGTAAGCATAGTAAGTTCATTTTGCTACATCTTTCTATATACTATTGAAAGACCAATGTGTTTATCTCCCAGGAAACTGGCCAAGAACTATATACATAGTTCTCTTTTTGTTCTTTCTGTCTCTCTGTTTTGTTTGTTTGGGTTTGGGGCTGGGTGCTCAAATTTGAGCCTTGTACATGGTTATCAGGCACTGTGCTGTACCCCTAGACCCAAGGTTCTATGTGCTTTGTTGTTTGTTTTTAAAACTGTACACATGGTTTGTCTCTGTAAATGTAATTGCAAAATCACAGATTTGTCCACAGTAGAAAGCATTCCTTGCATATGGTTCTTTTCCTGTGGAGTTGTAAGGGAGCTCATTTACCTTTAACAGTGATTTCTATGTTCCAGACAGAGATTGGTGAGGACAGTATTTCTCATTTGAGTATTAAGAAATCTGAGGTTTGAAAAGAAATAGTGGCAGTTACGCCAGCCCTCTTAATACTTAAGTATTTAAATATAATGTTTTTTCTTTTACTAGCTTTTGGAGTGTCTAAGGAAAACACTAAGCAAAGTAGCCAATTGCTTCATCGCTGAAGAATTCTTGACTCAGATAGAAAATCTGTTCCTTTCCAATTACAAAAGCAAGGAAGAAAATGGACTGGCTGAAGAGAGCAGCACAAAGGAGCTGTTCATGTGATTATTTAAAGTAAGACGTCTGACCTTGACATGCTGCAGTTATATGCATGACCTTGACATGTTATAGCAGTATAAATTAAGTGGGTTTTTCTTTCAATCCATAAAATTCTAAACTTTTCCACATAAATAATGTAAAAAATGAAGAGAATTGGGCTTGTTTCGCTTAGTGACACTCAAGAGTGTTGGGTTCCTGTCTAGAATAAGCAGTGCAGGTAGACTAATGAAAGATGGAGTGCTGGTGTGCTTTGCTATACACAGCTTGATACGTAGACTATGTCTAAGCTTTACTTCTCTGAAGTAGTCTTTATTTCTCATTCCAACATCTTATCTCATTAGACATAACTTCTCTCCTGTATGTTCTGGTGGTCAGGTGTGTGTGTATGTGTTCTTTGGATGTTGTAGCCTAGGTGTGGAAAGAGTTACTGTGGTTGAGAACTACTGACTAGTAAATCTAAGAACATGGTGTAGAATGCCAAACAAGGCAGAAGGAAAAAACATTCCTTAGAAACATTCAGCAAGAGACCAAAAGGGGGAAAAACCAGTTTGCAGTCCTCTGTATTTGCTTTACTTTTATTGTGTAGCACTGTACCAGTTTTTCTCTTTCTCTGTGTACATTTAATATGAACAATAAAACAGACTTTGTAAAATCCCTTTGAAGTCTGGAAGTATAAGAACTCCAGAGCAAAAATTCAGGAATCCTGAGCTCTCAACCTAATCTCTGCCAGCTTTGGTACATGACCTTGTTCCGGGCACATTTCTCTGAACTCCAAGTTCCTTAGTTGAAATTTAAAGAGGTGTGTGTGTGTGTGTGTGTGTGTGTGTGTTTTCACTTTTATTTTCATGAACTATATATGAAAAGATTGTAAAGTATCATCTCCCCCAAAGGGATGGCTTTGTCCATCTTGTTCTGACTTAGTTGTTTAATAACTAAATTTGTTTATAATCATGGTTAAATAGTATCAGTAGTGACCTAAACAGTTTAATATCATCATTGTTTACACTTTATTTAATTTGTATCCCGGTTGTAGTTCCTTCCATCCCTCTTCCTCCCCTATTCCTCTTCCCTGGTCCACTGATAGGGGAGGTCCTTCTCTACTGTCTGCTAGCCTATCAGGTCCCATCAGGACTGCCTTGCTCCTCTTTCTCTTTGGACTGGCTAGGTCGCCCCACCAGGGAGAAGTGATCAAGCGGCAGGCAACTGAGTTCATGTCAGAGCCTGTCTCTTCTCCCCTTACTAGGGAACCCCATGGAGACTGAGCTGTCTATGGGCTACATCTGAGCAGGGGTTCTAGTCCTTTCTATGGATGGTCTTTGGTTGATGTATCAGTCTCTACAGTACCCCACTGAACCCAGCTGTTTGAGACTTTGTTGGTCTCCTTGTGGACCTCCTGTTCCCCTCTGTGTCTTTCTATATCCCCATTCTTCCATAAGACTCCCTGCACTGTGTTCAAAGTTTGGCTACGAGTCTTTGCATCTGCTTCGATCTCCTGCTTGGTGGAATCTTTTACAGGACATCTGTGGTAGGCTTCCACCTTGTTCCTTCTCTCCTACTACTTCACTAGGGTCCTTGTTATTGAGCTTCTTTAGGTCTGTAGATTTTAGTATGTTTATCCTATTATATGGCTAATATCCAATTATAAGTGAGTATATACCATGCTTTTGGGTTACCTCACTCAGGATGATCTTTTGCAGGCAAAGGATGGAACTACTAAAGAGCTAGAATTGTATAACTTGGTGTCTCTTCAAGCACAGAAGGCTATATCAATTGGCTATAGTCAAAAGCAATTAGTCAAAAGGCTATAGCCAATAGCAATTCATTCCTTTGTGCTTTTCTTCCTTTTCACCTGTCTCTTCATAGGCTTTTGGAACAGACCTGGAAATGGATGTTGATTAACTTTCTTCCTGTTTCCCTAGAATGTTGTTGAATTGCTAAAAGTTCTTTCTCAAATCTGTATTTCTCACATGCCAGGGTATTCACTACCCTGGTATTCACTAGTCCTTCATTGTAAGGACTTCAAGAATGGCAGTAGTCAGAGTGTAAGGCTGTGAGAAGACAAGTTTTTAAGCAACTATTGAGGGTCTGTTTTTCTGACTATAGACTATATTTGTAATTTACCTTATGAAATATTTTAAAATACAGAGATGTAAAAGGAACTTTTATTCTCTTGGAGGCTTATGGCTGTTTGCTAAACAAAGAACAGATATCTCAAACCTATTATTCAGAAGATATTTCACACAGGAATTAAATTCTTAACCAGTTTTTAATAGCACAAATTTAGAACATTCAGATTCATCATTTGTCTCTTTCTTTCCTATTCTTTCTCAATGCTGTTTTCTTTTCTCTTGACATAGGGTCTACTTGCTTTGGCAGCTGCAGATGGCTTTTCTGCTGACCTTGACAACCTTGGCCTCCTGAGGATAGTTAGAGCCAAGGCCTTAAAGAAGCACAGATGAGTCTGGAACCCAAGGGGCATGTAACACAGAAGTTCATGAAAAACTAAAGAAAAGCCCATCCCAACAATGTTTGCAGAAGTGGAGGACCAGAGACACCCGAGTCTCTTCAGCCTACGTTCTGTTTTTATTGGTGCACACAACTGTAAAATAATGAGCTTAAATTTGTTCTTAATCTGACTTTGCTAAGGAAAATTAATGATCATTCTTCTCCTATATTAGACTTAGTTGTTCTTCAGAAATAATTCTCAAGAAACAAAATCAGTGAAACAAGACCCTGGCCCTCATTTAGCCTTGAACCATTCTTTTCCAGTCCTTTTAATTGGCCTGGAGCTCTCCTTCCTGTAGTTGGTTTGACCATGTACTCAAAGCTCATGAGGTTTTTAGGCCCTAAGCACTTTTGCCCATTCAGACCCCTTCCATACAGAATTCAGAATTACATTTTATAATTGTGTTTGTATGAAATAACAGTATTCACATTTTGGAGAAGTAAAATATTCCTTTAATTTAAAACTCAGGTTGTTTTTCCTAATAAAATTAAGTAAAACATTTGTTACATGCGCTTCAGAATACTGAGAGTCTAAGACATTGTGCCTAATGGATGGTTTGCCCTGCCTGTGTTCTAAGGCTGTTGTCAGAAAATGCAGTCAGTATTCTCTATCCCCTTGCTCCTTGGTCATTTAGTGCCACTCCACCAATAGCACTGCAGTCGGCAGCATCAATAGGCCTGTACATTTGAACTTCATTCCTTCCCACCCTAGCCAAAAGTTGGTATTGGTTAACCCCCATTATTGAGGGGGGTTGGGGTTGGAGACAGTAGTTAGAAGTCAGCTGGTAAGCATTTTTGTTCTGCTTCCTACTTTTACATCTTGTGCTATGTCTCACACAGTGAAGTAGCTTTCTTCCTTTTTCTCTCAAACCCCATTATTCGTTCATCCTTACAGCTCAGGAGATTTAAGATCTTAATATCGTCCACTGAAAGTGTTTGACAGACCCATTCTGATTTCCCTGAATTGTTTAGTACTGGCCTAGGCTTCTCCACAGAATGTTTCTTTTCTCTGGTTTGGCTAAGTGAGGTCTGTGACGTGCAGACTACAAGCACATTTAGCCTCTTCAGTTCTCAGTTCAAGAACATGGCATCCTTAGCCTTCCAGCCCAAGCCGTCCTACTGCTCTTTAGTTTACCTTTTCCCGATGTATATTTCTGGGTCCTGACAGAATGAGCTGGAGAAGCTGATAGAATCAGTATGCCTGAGAGTGATGCTCTGCTCCACGCCAGACAAAGACACCTTTGACACCTCCTTGTACACACACTTGTACATCATCAGTGGATATCCCGTGTGGGTGTCTCATCAATAACAGAGTTGCCATCCAAATTTTCCTTTTTCTACTTTCATCTCTACCACCAAGAAGCTTAATCTGTTATCAAATAGAATAGCATGAAGGAAAGTACCATCATAGAAGCACAAAGAAAAGCACACACATGTTGATGAACATGTACTCTGTCAGCATTAACAAAGAAATTTGATCTGGATCTCTAGTTTCCATTTCCTAATAGTACTTTTATGACAATATATTTTGTGATATTCCCAGAAAAATCAGTTAGGAGAATAATGTAATATATGTAATCATTTCCTGACCTTTTCTGAAAAGGTTTTATGTGTGCTTTTGTTGCCTGTAATTTTGCTTTCTGGTATCTCCTCTGCCTTACTCATCATTGCCTTATTGCCCCCACTAAATCAGGAGAAAATGAAAGCATCCAAGAGGAACTGAAATGGTTCTAAATGAAACTAAGTGTTAAAGCTGAAATTAGTTCGCAGCACCTGGGTAGCTTTTATTTTCATCTTTTGGTGTCTCTGTCACACACACGTGTGAATTCCAGGGGAAATGCTTGGTTTGTTGTCTCTGATGTTTCTTAGTAGTTTTTCAGAAATTTGTTAGATATGTTATCACAGTTCATATTCCTTTTTCATATCATAACGTGGAGACTTGTGTGATGGTGCACACCTTTAATCCCAGAATTCAGAAGCAAAGATAGATGGATTTCTAGAGTTCAAGGCCAGCCTGGTCTACATATTCCTAGGAATAGGAAGACCCTATCTTTAAAACAAAACAATTTTCTGCTTTAGCATATGAGTTCTAAAGTTGTAATTAAGTATTGGCATGATTTATGTAGATGAGTAATTTACATCGCCTTTAAATGAGTAGATTGGAGTTGACTTGCACAGTTATGTTTTATATAAGATACTGCATGACAGTTTATGAACTTGTTTTCCTACAATATTAGTTTTGTGAATTTCTTCACTACTTTGCATTTTACAGTGTTCTTTAACAATATGATTTAAAACTATTTTGTACATTTAAATGTTAAATGATATGTTGTATATATTTACATTAAAGAATATTGTAAATATCAGTGTTTGTAAGATTATACAAGATTTCCCCCAAAATATAAACTCACCTTTCTGTACTTACTTGTGACATACCTGATTTAAGCTTTGACTTATTACCTTACAATGAAAGCTAAGGAGAAACATGCTGCCAAGTCAATGTAGACAAAAATTTGGCAATAAAACAGGTGGTTTTGATGTTGTTGTAAACTATTAGTAATATATGTGTTGAATTACAAAAAGAAGGCACTATCTTAGTTACCTTTCTTGTGCTATGACAAAACACATGACCAAGGCAACTTAAAAAGAGAGCATTTAATTTGGGGTTTACACTTGAATCCAGAGGGTCCATGACCATCATGTCAAGGAGTATGGCAAAAGGCCGTTAGGCATGGCATTGGAGCGTTAGCTGAGAACTTTATACCTTATCCCCAAGCAGATGGCAGAGAAAGTGCAAACTGGAAATGGTATGGGCTTTGGAAACCTCAAAGCCAGCGCCTCAGTGTCTCTTCCTCCATCAAGGTCATACCTTCTAATCATTCACACACAGTTCTACCTGTGGAGACCAGGTATCCAAATATATGAGCCTGTGGGGCCATTCAAGAACATCCAAACACTACAGCCACATTCATTCACACCAGGCTTAGGTGAGCATATCTTACACAGCTCACAGGGACACAACGATCAGTAAATCTTGACTTCCTACAAGAACCCGATTAGTGGGAAAATGCAAAACAAGCTGCAGTTGGTTATAAAATGCCTATAGACGGGTAACAGAGAGTGGTGGTGAGAATTCTCTGGACTGGGAGTGTGCCTTTAAAAGAAGTACCTGGCAGGTTTGATTATGGGATATTTAGAAGATGCTGAAAATGATTCCAGCATAACTGGAGGTTAGAAAAACAAAATATTTTGATCAGAGAGTAGCATATATGAAGATGGTAATTATGAGAGCAACATTCAGCCAGTGCATTAAATTTTAAGTCACAGAAGGTATAAAGTAGAGGCCAGTGAGGTAGTGGATAAAGAGATCTAATGGCCCAGGTTCTGTTCCCAAGATCCACGTAGTGGAAAGAGCTAACTCCTGCAGTAGTCCTCTGATATCCACACATACACTGTGTCAAATGCTGATACACACATCTCAGGAAACATTTTTAAAAAAATTTTAGTAAGTAGAAAGTGAATCTCATCTTAAAAATCAGTGCAAATATTGGTTTAACTAATTTTGAACTTTCCATTTTCTATTCCTAGCATGAAAGAAAGTACACATTTTATATAAAACAAGGCATCTTTATATTCTCATTAAGAACACCTGTTCAGGGTTGTGGCTCAGTGCTAACTTGCCAAGAGTGTGTGAGACCTTGTACTACCTGTCCCTTTTTTATTCCCTTCTTTATGTATGTGTGTGGCATTCCATGCTCTAGTCTGTCCTAGTGGATCTGGTAGTATGCGGTGGATAATCAGATTGTACCTATGTTCTTATTTCACGTGGTTTGGGTTGTTTGGTTTTGGTTTTCAGTGTACAGTCAGTACTTGCAGGAGAGATTCCTAGTAGTTGTTAAGCCAACAACAGTTTTACTTCTTTTAAATTTTTTAGTATCTTGGAGAAATTTTTATTTTTTATAGTTAAGTCAAGTACCCAAGTAAAAAAATAATGATTTATTTGCCAGATATGATGAAATCCTGAAAATTAATTCCACAAAGCTTTTATTTCATTGGAAGTTCATTCCTCTGTATAGTTGTTAGGGATTCTTAATAATTAAGCTTTTTTTTTTTAACTTTCTGATTGCAACCATGGCTCAAGAATTGTCTCACAGTTCTATTTGTGCTTGAATGGTTTCTGCATCACTGAACCTCAAGACAGAATGCTTGTTTGAAACAGGCTACACCACATGCTTACACATTTGTTCAGAATCTTGCATTTTCAGAAAGATACACTAAAATGGAATGCTTGTTTTTGTTTTCCATATTTTTCCCATTATCCTATGAGGCACATTAGGACGTGAAGAATTTAGTGAGTGTGTGTGTGTAGGGGGGGGAACGACAGGGGAGGACAGTGTGTGGTAACCAAAGCTACGATGGATGTTAAAAACCTTATGGGAACCCACTCGTTTGTAAGCCAATTTCAAAATACAAGTTCAGAAAAAGAAAGTTGAACAGGATTACCTTGCATTATGACAGTGCCACTCCCAGAACGCATGGGTTATTGTAGGACAAGGCATGGGATGGCTCCCTATGAGTTAATTGATCAGGGAGGCCCCAGAAGTCTCCAGAACAGCCAGACTATTGCCATTGCCCTTGGCTGTTTATTCATCACATCGGCATGGTAAGACCCTGTTGCTGAATACACACTTAGGACAGGACTTCAAAAAAACGCATTTCAAAGGAGTGGAAAGCTTTAACCCTGCTGACCAGTTTTCATGGTGCCGGAAGGTGCTGTGTAGCCCTGGGGGTCGAGAAAAGACATCAGTATCCTCGTCCAGGGCCCAACCCTGCACGAGTCAGTATTGACTTGTCAGCTGTGGTGGTCTGAATGAGAATGGCCTCTATGGGCTTATATTTTTGAATACTTGGTTCCCAGTTGGTGAAACTCTTTGGGAAGAATTAGGAGGCTTGGCCTTGCCTTGGAGGAGCTGTGTCATAGGGAGTTGGGGGAGGGGTTCTTTGAAGTTTCAGAAACCCATGCCACGCCCAACATCTCCTGCTTAGGGTTAAGGATATAAGTTCTCTGCTACTGCTCCAGTGCCATACCCACCAGCCTGCTGCCATGCTCCTGACTATGATGGTCATGGACTCACCCTCAGAAACTGTAAGCCACCAATAAACTCTTGATCTGTAAGTTGCCCTGGTGTCTCTTCAAAACAATAGAAAAAGTAACTTAGACACCCGGCAAGATCTGTTCACTCCTGTAATAGTGGCATGACACACTGGGTGACTGCTTGCCATTTGGCTATAAGGCCCTGCTGCACAGAAAGGAATCTAATGGCTGGTACTGTAAACCTGCTCAAAAGCCCGTGTTGGGAGGGTCATGGGCCCCAGGGTAGAACCCGCACTTGTTACTTTGGTAAATGGTAATGTCACATTGCCTGCTGGTCAGACTGCAGGCATTAATTCATCCTGCCTGTGGAAACAGCCTTCAACCCCGCTGGGCTTTGGTGATACTTCTGTAATTTATTGATTTATTTACTTACTTAACACTTGGTTTGTTGGTTTGTTTGTTTGTTTTTGAGGCAGGGCTTCTCTGTGTAACATTCGCTGTCCTGTGCTCACTCTGTCAACGAGGCTGGCCTCAAACTCACAGTGCCTCTGCATCCCGAGTGCTGTTATTAAAGGTGTGTGCCATTACACCTGGCTGATTCTGTAATTTCTTAATTTCCCGCCATCAGTGTATATTTTTATAATCAGAAAAAATAATGATAAAAAGATTACAGAAGTCAGCTGGCCGCAGTGGCATGTGCCTGTAATCCTAGCACTTGGGAAGGCAGAGGCAAGCCAATCTCTATGAGTTTTGAGGCCAGCCTGGTCTATAAAGCAAGTCCAGGACAGCCAAGGTGACACAGAGAAACCCTGTCTCAAAAAAACAAAACAAATCAAAAATAAAAAATCCCAGAAGTCAAATCAGAATGCTAATAGTCTGCGGGCCAGGCAGGAGTCTGGCTTAGCACAAAGGAGTCTGGATGACAAAGCACAATAGTACGGAAGTGGAGTCAGATTCCAGAGGCAGGTAAGATGATTTATAAGACTCCGGTCTAGGGAAAGAGATGTGTGTTCAGACGGGACCAAATAGGTGAGCAGTGCCACAAAGGCTCTCACCCAGTGCCTCAAGGGTGCTCAAAATTGAAAACTGAGGCCATTTTGCAACTACCTTGTCGTCTTCGCCAGATTACCCTTTTTTAAATTCTCAATTCAGTGAAGAAAGGCTGAGACATAGTACGTCCTGAGCTCTGGATGGGTTTAGCAGCAGCCAAGTCACAGGATTAATGAACCGCAAGCTTCACGTGGGCTGAGATCCCAGACAGGATGATTGACTTGACTGATAATGCCTGCGGGCTGCCAGGATATGGGAAGCTTCTGATAGGATTGTTAGGCCCAGCAAGAGCCTAAATATAAGAAGGTATGAAGAGAACTCAGGAAACTAATCATCCATCGATGCAAAAACACAAGAGACTCTTCTTGACCATTGCACAATGGGGTCACCCCTGCTAGTCAGCAAGGAGTGGCCCCGGGAGACAAAGACCTTGGGTTTTTAAAAGACACAAGGCGGGAATCTCCTGGCATTGCCTTTTTGGCAATTTAGGATTGGATGAAATGTTTAACTTTTAAAATAATTGGTCAGTTCTGGTCACCCTTAGGTCCAGTCAGCCCTGTCGTAAATATCTGATCGTCAAGTCAGTTTGGAATTTCCTGCCATCCACAGTTAAATGTGGGAAGGTGATTAACTCATCCCATGTCTGTTCTGAGGAGTGGGGGTTACAGGCTTTGGATCAAAGGTCAGGAGAAGGATTGGGGCCATTTGGCCCAGTTTCCAAACAAAGCCCATCTCACCGGCGCCAGATCTCCATTTAGTAGAGATCTCTGCTTGTTCTCTTCCTTATCTCTGCCCTCACAGATGGCTAATGTCGGGAACTTTTACATTCCTCGGTTCTCTGGAGAAGCACTAAGAGGCTTTAATTAACATGGGCCTAAAACTTGCAAATATAAGTTATAAGGCAATTAAAAGAAACATAGGTTACAAAGTTAGTCTGATTCTTTCAGGATCAGTATACCAAACTTGGAGAATACAGGGAACTGACCTGCAGACAGAACCTTCCGACCCCAAAGTCCTCCTTTCCCCTATGAGACCCCCAAGTCCCCTGGACCACACCTTTCAGTCTCCACTCCCACAGGAAACTGGTGTCCTATAGTTATTCTGATTTACAGAAGAAGAAAAAAAAAACAGTCCTACTTTTGGAGAAGCCAGTCTTATTTCCATGTTGCCCCCATCATTACCAATCTAACATCTTCCCTCGTTCCCAACCCCACATGTGCCTACTTAAACACCCCATAAGGTATACCTCATGTGCTCCTGGACCTTTCACCAGGGTCTAAAGTCCAAGTGACGACCCAGAACTTGACTCTTGCTGCTCCAAATCTCTGCTTTATTCATCAGGAGTTTCCACACTGGCCCACCCAGAGCTAGAGCCTTGCTCTAGCCAGGCACATTTCTGGCCACA